TAACTGTGGGAAGTATGGGCATGTTGTCATGGATTGTTACTCGGTAAAATGCTACATCTGTGGATAGCTGGGTCATATTTCCAAAGATTGTAGGTTCGAGAAGAAAAAGGAGGAACCAACAAACTTCCTTGCTGAGGAAGAAGATGAAGGGTGGTTGTTGGTGACAAACATTCTAGAAACTGAGGTCAAACTGAGCTATTCTAATAACTCGGTTTGGTACCTAGACACCGGCGCAAGTAACCACATGTGTGGTGATGAGCGCTTATTCAAAATACTTTCAAAGGTGGAGTCTGGATCCGTTTTTTTTTGTGATGCTTCGAAAGTAGTTGTCAAAGGCCGAGGAACAATCTAATATCAACAGAGAAATGCGCGCATCAGATAGATCAGAGATGTATACTTCGTGCTTGATCTCAAAAGCAATATACTGAGCATGTGACAGTTAATGGAGAAGGGGTACTTAGTTCTGATGAAGGACCGATAACTACAACTAAAGGATAAACTCGGGAGGCTCATTGGTAGAAATGAAGAAAAATCACATGTACAAACTTGAGTTGAAAATAGTTCAAGATAAATGCATGCAACTTGATACGTAGGATGATGCCATGAAGTGGCATTTTCGGTTCAGTTATCTTCACTTCGGTGGGTTGACCGAGCTGGTGAAAAAGGAGATGGTGCTCGGACTGCCTAAAATGGAATTCGAAAAAAGATTATGTGAAGGATGTGTGATCGAAAAGCAAGTCAGGACTTCTTTCTCAAGGAATTTTGAGTACCAAGCAAAGGAGCAATTCGGACTGATCCATACCGATTTGTGTGGGCCGAGAACTCCAGAATCATTCAGTGGTAAGAGATACTTCATCTCTTTCATTGATGATTTCTCGAGGAAGACATTGATTTATTTTCTGAAGGAGAAGTTAAAAGTGTTTGAAACTTTCAAGAAACTCAAAGTGATGGTGGAGAAAGAAACAAGTGAAGTCATCAAAGCAGTCCGATCTGACAGAGGAGGCGAGTTCACTTTTGCTGAGTTCGACAAATACTGCGAGGAACATGAGATCAAGCGTTTCTTGACTACCCCATATTCTCCACAACAAAACGGTGTAGCGAAACGAAAGAACCGAACCATTCTCGATATGGTTCTATCTATGTTGAAAGGGAAGAATATGCCGAAGAAGTTTTGGGCAAAGGTAGTACAGTGCCCAGTCTATGTGCAAAATAGATGTCCACATGCAAAGCTAGGCGAGTAGCGTGGCCTATGGACAAGTACCAAGTGAGCACAGGACAAAATTAGAAGATCGGAGTAAGAAGTACATGTTTATTGGGTATGATGAAAAATCTAAAGCATATAAATTGTTTGATCCTATCAACAAGAAAGTGGTGGTGAGCCGAGATGTTCAAGTGGAGGAAACAAAGCAATGGTGCTGGTGTAACTCGGTCAAGAAGAAACTAGCTCAGAAATTGTTGTGCCTTCAAAAACAACAACCACCAAGTCCTTAGATGAAGAAACTAAGTCACAACAGCCCAGGATGAGAAGTCTGCAGGAAATATACGACACTACAAATGAATTTCATGTTGTATGTCTTCTGGCCGACTCTGAAGACTTGAGTTTTAAGAAATTTATTCAAGATGAGAATCATGGATGAGGAGATGGGGACGATTGAACGCAACAAAACTTAGGAGCTGACCGACCTTCCTAAACCAGGCACTAAACTCTCAAAGTTTGGTGGAGGAGAACGAGGTGATTCTTAAAGATATCAAAGCTTAATCGAAAGTCTGAGGTACCTTACAAGCACGAGACCCGATCTAATGCTGAGTGTTGGGATAACGAGCAGATACATGGAGAATCCAAGTGACACACATTGGAAGGCCTTGAAGAGAATTCTAAGATATGTTCGAGGAACCCTATCACTTGGTCTTTTCTATTTTAAAATCGGATGACTATCGACTAGTGGGTTACTCAGATAGTGATTGGTGTGGTGATGTTGATGACTGGAAAAGTACTTCAAATTATGTATTCCTATTCGGGAAAACAACTCTTACTTAGTTGTCAAAGAAGCAGCCCATTGTAACTTTGTCGACCTGTGAGACCGACTATGTGGTGGTCTCTTGGAGTGTGTGTCATGCAGTCTGACTTTCAAATCTACTAAGGCATCTGGGAGTGATCCGAGAGGAAGGGACTGTAATCCGAGTTGATAATAAGTCGGCAATCGATTTGGCAAAGAACTCGGTTAATCAATGAAGGAGCAAGTACATTGACGTTCGATTTCATTTCATCCGAGAACAAGTCAGAAAAGGAAAGGTCAAGCTGGAGCATGTTGAAAGTCGAGTTCAAGCCGCGGATGTATTCACCAAGCCACTGCCGACCACACTACTGGAGAGTTGTAAAAGGATGATTGAAAAAAGAGATGGGAAGAGTATTTAAGTTTAAGGAGGAGATTTATTGTAAAACTTAAATTAGTCGTTTGGTATTCCTAGAATAGTATTAATGGTTTTAGGCATGAGTGGCATAACCATGAAAATATGGGTTACAAACCTATTTAATTGGTATCATGATTTACTTTTGGTATTTGAAGAGGCAAACATTTTTCCCATAAATATTTGTAACAACTCATTTGAAATCATAGCAAGAGAAACATAGAGAGATTAAAAGAAAACAGAGTGCTGCCAACTTCTATTTTCTGCCTTCTTGTTGCCAACATTATTTAGTTTAATTTTCTATGCATATTTTTGCATATATGTACTGTTACCAACAATATTTAGGAAACTAAATATAAACTAAATATATGCTTACCTAAACTACAATAACAAAATATATTTACATATATCTTAACACAAAAGGTTGGTTGATCTTGAGGTTGTTATTCATTGTCTTTGCATTCTCATAAGAACTGACGTCCTTGGCATCCTTATTGTTGACATTAATCTTGCCTTGAATGTAACTATCAATAATTGTGGACTCAACGACCATCCTCATCTCTACACTGAGTTTCAACTCATGAGCCTCCAACAAATCTTAGAACTCTTTAACCTTCATCTTTTCAATGTCATCAGATTCCTCTATTGAAACAACAATGTAATCGAATTTAGAGGAAAGTGTTCGCAGAATTTTCTCCACCATACCATAGGTTGTCATTGAATTCACCATCAGTTGAATCTGATTGAAATAATTTGCAATGAATTCTTGATCAAGCATGGAGAATAGTTCATTTTGAGGGATTGTAACTTCACTTTCTTAATGTTCTAAACACCTCCACATGCTTTCGACATAATATCCCAAATCGCTTTATGTCTTGGGTTTTGAAATCTACTCAAATTTAAAGTCTTTTTTTGGCTTCAACATCATCTTTATTTTAAGTATTTTTTTTATTATTGTTTCTAATATTTATTAATAACTAATAATGACTTCATTCTTATTACCTAATAATAATAATTATTACCATGAAAAAGATACAAATTAGATAGAAAAGTGTTGTCTCTATTTAAAACCATAACAATCTTATAAAGTTTTAGTCTTTTAAATTTTGATACCAATTGTTAAAAAAAATACTTTTTTATTTTTCTTTATTAAAAACACAAATATTATAATAAAAAACTCTATTAGTTAATTTACCGTTACGAAAGAACAAATCAATTAATTATCACAATTAGTATTTACTTCTAATGAAGAGTGTAAATATATGGTATTATTACCATGCTGAGTTTTCTAAAATTATATCAACTATAGATAAAATAAAATTAATATAAAAATAAATATCTTAAACATAATAATTAGTAATAATTTCATTTATACTCACTCTTTACGTTATAAATTGAAATCGAAGAATCTCTCGTATTATTATGATTATAATATGTTGATGTGAAAATGTACATGAACTAGAATACGGTCAAATAAAACCATTTTAGTCTATAACGACAAACATGTTACCAAAAAAAATAATATAGCGTCAATAAAAAATGTATTTCCAATAAAACTTTGATGAATGTAAATTTTTATTTAATTATATTACGGAACTTTAGGTTAACAGTTTATATCCAGGTTTCAAAAGAGAAAGTTGAAGATAAAACTATTGTTTACTTGTTTATTTACTATTTTAAAATTAATTTTTATATTTTAAGCTTTTAAAGATTAAAAGTATGTTCGGTAATTATTTTATTAGAAATATTTTGAAAAATATATTCTTTTAGTTTCTAAAATCTAAAAAATCAAAATTGATAAAAAAATAGTTTTTGTTAGTTTTCTATTTTTATTAATAATCAATATATTATTATTTTTTTAATTATCGTAACTATTATCATCCTCTCTTATTTAAAAGAGTTTTCAAATTAAGTCATCAAAATTTGTTTAAATGTAATTTATAAAAATTTATCTTTAAATCTATTTTTAAAACAAAATAAAAAACTAACAAAGAATTTACCTAATAATATTTATGTGTTAACCCATTTACTCATTAAAAAGTAATAATAAATAAGTCACTATGATTAATATATTAAAATAATTTTTAAATTAAAAATAAACTAAAAAATGGAAGATATCATGAAAGTTAGAATCAAAGTACGAGTTATCCATCTTTTAGGATAAGGGAAAGGTCCATTTTATACCTTAAAATTTTCAAAATCCACAATACACCAATTCAATTTGTAAACCACAGGGTCTCCAATTCGCTCAGACCAGTTCAGCTATGTTTGGATTACTGGTTTTGACAGGAAAACTGACGGGTTATACTGGATCATAAAGGTTACAAAACATTTGTGATGCAACAACCAATTGGGACTAGCTATATCACTGGTTTCGAATCGGATCGGTATAAGCCAGGTGTCCAAATTGCAAATGTCATTTTCCTTTGATCTTAGTATCTGAAAAATCAATGTCGTTCATTACCTTTCAATTTCATCTGCTCCCCCTAAAAGAAAAATAACCGGCAGTGATTATATAAAGCACCAAAACCATGTGAAAGATAATGTTGCTCAATCGTCATATATTTCTTCCCTATGGAAACCTTGTGATCTTACCTCTCACCACGTTTTCTTTTGAGTGATCCACTAATAGCAGCCTTAGCTTTTGCCCATTCTTTCAAAGATGCAGCACTTCTCATAAATGAGCACGTGTCGCCTACTTCAATATTTTCACTGGATTTTTCCCTGGGATTTATTTCAACTTTTTCCTCCACTATTGGGGCAGAAGTAATGTCATTGACACCTAAATGCTGACTCTTTTCTGGTATAGTCTCCCTTGATTTAAACCCATTACTCACAACTTCATTAAGAGTATCCTTAGCTACACCATTATCCTTGCAATAGTTGAAAATGGCAGGTTCCACAATAGGATCCTTAGCCTTTGGATCTGGGAAAGTAATGCCCGGTAAAATATGTGAAATGCTGAATGAATTGCTATTCTCACTAACCATTTGTGTCCAGGATTGTTTCTGCAACCATGAAGTTCCTCTGCCTGTCTTATTAGCTGCAACATGATGCGGATTTTCAGTAATATCTTCTATCACTTGTTCATTGGTAGGTTGAGCTTCAGCAAGATCTTTTATCACTTGTGTATTGGTACGGTTGCTTTCTAAGTGTCCATCCCTTTCCATGTTTTCAGTTTTGTTGTTTGTAGATATAGGGGCACACGGATCATCAGATTTTTGTTGATTCTTACTAGAGTCCAATTTCGGCAATATGAGAGAAGCACTGAAAGAAGTATTGCCTCCGGAACCAACAAGTTCTTTCCATGAAGACTTCTGAGACCATGAAACTTAATTCCTCAAAACCGTGTTCTGGCTCAGTAGGCTGTGCACCAGATCCCACCTTATTTGGAAGGGTCTGCATGTTACCCTTGCCTCCAGGCGTTGTTGATACTTCCGCATTGCTTTCCATTTCCAATTTGGGAAGTGATTTTATCTTCTTTTTCTTGTTGGGATTGATATTATTACCTTTTTCCACTTGAGGCATATTCTTGTCGGGTTCTTCCTTAGCAATTTTTCTTTTATTCAACCATGATTCCTGAATATTAAAAAGAAATATTAGATGGAATAGAATACCTTTGCATTGCTAAAAGGAAACTGACATTACCACTTATTGAACACTCCACCTCCAAAAAAAGAAGAAGAAAAAAAACCTGATTTTCCAGGATTCTCTCAAGTTCCTGGTTCCCTATTAAAGCTGTTTTCTTTTTCTTCGTCTCAATGTTAATAATGAGATCATCTTCATCTGTTGCACTATCTTCACGCTCATCAGATTGTAAAGCATTAGGTGTTTCATAAGAATACTTATCCTTTCCAAGGTTTTCAGCACAGAAATTCTTTTCTTTTTGAATTAGCTTGTTCATCACAGCATTCATTATGCTAATCTCTTCATCATTCATTCCACCACTTTCGGCTGCCCCCCTATCAATGGATAGCTTATCTCTTCTAATGACAAGAGGACTACAATGCTCCTCACAATCACAAAAATGCACAGGGAGTTGAGAAACTTTAATATTCTGAAAACTATATTTGTGTTTGCCAGTTCCACTGAATGGTATGGATTTCACCTGCACAGGTATATATGTAGCATGTAAAAACCAAGTCATATTTAGCCCTAATATATTTAGACATAATTAAACATGCAAAGGCTTTGTATCTTAAGCCCTAATACATTTGATATAATTAAGTGACCTTGTATTTGTACATAACAGATAAACTAATTTAAAAATCAAAATTATTGCTCTGAAAATGCATTGTACAACCTATAAAACACTTATTCTAACACTCTGATTACAGAACAACACCAGAACCATAGAGGGAAGTACATCATCTAAGTTTTTCCTCCGTATCCTAAAACACAAGAAACACGAAACACTAATTTCACACATACAGTTCACAGAACCCAAACATAACCCATCTAACTCCTACCGAATCCTAGTGCCTACCCATCACCCTTGACCTAAACTTAACCAAACCCAATCATCACAAGATCAACCTTAACAACGAATTGCATATATACTAATAAAAACAAGCACCTAAACAGGTTACCTTTCTCAATCTGGGAAAGAAAATATTGAGGTGTTTGGTATTTGACTTGGAAGGGATTGTGGCGGTGTAGGGCATTTGCTTAGGAGAAGCGGGGGCTGGTTGAGTAGCTTCATCAAGAGCGACTTGCTCCCATTCTCTATTCAACTGCATGAGATAATCTTCTTTGGCCTTTTCCAGTCTCAATCTTCCACCCTTCCACAGGCACCCATTATACTGTCATGTCAATAGAAAGTAAAAATTAGTCACTGAAAAATAAAATTGTATATATTATTAACATATACACAAGCTCTAAATTTTGCTGATCGGAATTCTTTCTCAGTTTTTTTTTCCTTCTTATCTTTTCTCTCCTAAGACCATTACTTGGCTACATGAATGACACAATGTCATTGATAATTATGGAAGACAAAAAATAAATTAAAAAAAAAATTGTTAACTCTTGCCTTGCTGAAGAGCTTGGAAAGGGATTTAGGGTCGGAGAGGAAGTCGAGGTAGGCGAAGCTGCGACCTTTGGTTCGGATGGTTTGGACGGCTTGGACGCTACCAAGAGATGAGAATAAGCTTCGAAGGTCTTCGGCGCTCACTGCCTCCCCCAATCCTCCGATGAATATTCTCACTGCGTTTTTCGTTTCTTCCACTTCCTGCTCCATGCCTGCTTCTATCAACCTCTGTGTTCAGCTCCTAGCAACAATGAGGGTTCTTCACAGTTTTCAATTGTCACCTAATAGGCCAGAATGACGCAAATTTAGACGCTCGCAAATAGGCCAGAATATAATATTCATCATTCAGGGCAAAAATGTTAGCATTATTACTACCAGAAGTTGGAGAACTCACTCGGATAATTAATCCAAAATAGAAACGTTCAACAACCACAAAAAAGAAAAAAAAAATCAATCTACGCCAAAGAACAAACCGAAATCAGAAGGGGATAAAACCCAATTGGTGAAACCAGGAATTGATCAACAACTTAGTGATGTAACCATCTATTCATTTATCCCAAAATCACTAATCAGTTCAATGGATCACAAATGCAGTCTAGTCCAGATACAATCATGAAGTTACAAATAGCAAAAAAACAAACAAAATCAAATCTTGCAACAAGCATATGGCAAACAGAAACAACCCACTAATTTCAAACCCACTCCGCTAACTCCTGCAACCGAAAACATAATCAAACCTTTAACCCGACCATCTCAGCAAAGAGAAAAAGGGGAACAGAAGCGCTGTGAGAGAGTGAGGCTCACGGAGGGTGACTCTGTGGAGACCTAGGTGGTTTGGGGCAGTGGTCTACAATGAATGCGAGGGCTTAGGGTGTTGTCCATAGTGAAGGCTCTCGGAGGCGCGGTGAGAGGGAGGAAAGGCGGCTTGCAGAGGTGGTCGATGCCAAGGTTAGATGGCGAGGTGTGATTCGCGGCTGAAGGCACGGATTAGGGCTGGTGGGTGAAGGGATAAGGGTTTTGGGTGGCCGTGATGATATGGCTTGGCGACGGTGATGGATTAAGGAGGGGTGGAAGAGAAGAATGGAGGATCCGGTACTGGCAGAGATGGGTTAAAAAGGAAGATGACAGAAGGTAAGAATGATAGTGTTTGGGAATGTTTTGATTTCGATTACCTTAAAGGATGATTCAATATTTATATATAAAATTATTGTACCAAATACAGCGCATATTCATACAATTCTAAAATTTTAATAGCAGAATGGACAAAATGACAGATAATAAAAAAAATATTGTACAAGTTTGTTAAAAAAGAAAATTGTGCAAGATTGTTACAGTACAAGTTTGTTAGTCTCCCTCAAGCTGGAGAGGAGTGTCGATAAGCTCTAGCTTGGACAAATTTACATGGAATAGTCGAGGGGAAATAGCTTATTGAAGATATCAGCGAGTTGTCGAGATGATAGAACGAATGGGTAGAAGTTTCACTAAACCTGCTTGTGCCCTTTTCTCGAATCAAGTGGCAATCTATTTCCAATTGTTTATTTCATGAAATATTGAATTTGCAGCAATGTGTAAAGTACTCTGATTTTCACAATAAAATGTTGCTAACTTACAACACTAAATTTTGAGATAATTGAAAAGGTAAGTTAATCATTGCAACTCACAGGTGTTAATAGCCATACTCTGTTTCGGAGGAGAACGAGACACAGTATTTTATTTTTTGGTTTTTCAAGAAATTAAAGAGTTCCTTACGAAGAAACAATAATTTGTGACTAAACTGTGTGTGGAGACGCAAGTTGCCCAATCGGCATCACTAAACTCAATTAGGTTGATAGGAGAATTCCATTTTAAGTAGAGCCCCTTGTTTGGACAGTCTTTTAAGTATTTAAGAACTCTTTTTACAGCACCTAAATGAGACTTTGTAGGATTTGTCATGAACTGACTTAATTGTTGACGAGTCGTTATGAGGTAAATCAAACGACCAATAAGGCGCTTATAAAATAGAAGATCATTAAGTAATTCACTTGAATTATCCTGTTTTAAACGAAGAGAGTTATCCATAAGTGTGGAACTTGGTTTATAACCCAATAATCCTGAATCTGAAAGCAACTCATGGTAGTATTTTTGTTGAGATACAAAGATGTCATCATCAGGCTTCTTTACTTCTAATCCCAGAAAATATTTGAGTTCCCCCAAATCTTTAATTCGAAAATTGGATTGAAGTGTATGCTTGAGCTTTGTTATTTCAATGAAAGAGTTGTCAATTAAAACAATATCATCAACGTATATCAGTAAAGCAGTAAATTCTCCTTTTTCATGCTTGATAAACAAGTTATGATCAGTATGTGACTGTGAATAACCAGATGAGAAAAGGAGGTTAGAAAGTTTCTCATACCATTTTCGACTTGTTTGTTTGAGCCCATAGAGAGATTTATTGAGCTTGCAACACTATGAGGATTCATGCCCATATAGACCTTGAGGAATCTTCATGTAAACCTCTTCGAACAAGTCACCATATAGAAAGGAATTACTAACATCCAATTGCTGCAATTGCCAATTGTTTATGGAAGCTAGAGCAAGGATAACTCGTATGGTGACCATTTTAACCATGGGAGAAAAAGTCTCGAAGAAGTCTATCCCTTAAACTTGGGAGAATCCTTTCGCAACGAGTCTCACCTTTTATCGTTCCACACTCCCATCTGGTTTCCTTTTGATTTTGTAAACCCATTTACATCCTATGGGCTTGACATTCTTAGGGGTTTCCACAATTTCCCAAGTTTTGTTCAACTTTAAAGCCTCAATTTCATCCTTCAAGACTTCTTTCCAACACGACTTCAAAATTGCTTCTTGATAGCTTCGGGGCTCAATCTCAGAAGTTAGGTTTATGATATAATGACACTCAGACTCAGTAATGGAAGAAAGAACAGATTGAATAGGACACCTGCATGTTGACGATGATTGATTTGGTTTGATCTCTATGTTGTAGCAAACAAAATCCGCAAGTCGAACATTGGGTTTAGAGCCACGAGTGGTTCATCTTGGTATGAAAGGAATAGGGCTTAGATGAGGTGATGAAGAGATATGTAGTGAGATTGACTGGGATGGAGAGGTTGATGGCGAAATTTGGGGAAAAGGAGATGAAGTTTTATTTGGCGAGATTTGTGGATAGGATGAGGTTGTTGGGGAAGATAAGTTTTGAGGTAAAATAGGAGTCTGTGATGAAAGTTGGTCTTGTAGTGTAAAATTATTGGGTTGAGGTGTGAGTTAGAGAGGATCAAAGTGATTGAAGGTCTCTGTTTGTGGAGGAAATTACTTTTCTTTTTCTTGGACCTCGTGTTTGTTGTTAAAAGGAAAATAAGATTTATAGAAGATAATATCTCTAGAGATAAAAATGTCTTTATTTTGTAAGTCTAAAATAACAGCCTTTTGTATCAAATTGATAACCGAGAAAAACTCCTTCTCTAGACCTAGGATCAAATTTCTGTTTTGGCCTACTTGTTGATGCATAACATAAAGAACCAAAAACTTTAAGCATGGAAAAATCAGGTTTTTGATTATGCAAAAGTTCGTAAAGAATTTGTTTCTTTATAACTAGAGAAGGTATACGGTTAATAAGATAAACTGCATGTTTTATTGCATAGGACAAAAAATGTTTGGGCAATTGAGATTGGAACATGAGAGCACGTGCCACGTTGAGAATATGTTGGTGTTTTCTCTCAACACACCCATTTTGTCGAAGAGTATAAACACAACTGGTGTGATGTATAATCCCTTTTGAAGCAAAAAAATGTTTAAGAAAAAATTATGGACCATTATCTGTCTGAATACATTTTATCTTGGAATCAAATTAGTTTTTAATTAAAGAAATAAATTTTTGAACATGTATTTTTACCTCGAATTTTGATTACAATAAGACAATCTAAGTATATCTACTAAAATCATCCAAAATAGTTAAAAAATATTTTTCACCATGAATTAAGGCCTTAGAAAAAGGTCCAAAAATGTTCATGTGCACCAAATCAAAGTTTTAAAAAGCTGTATCACTAAGGCAATAAGACAATTTTCTTTGTTTTGCAAAATGACAAATGTCACAATTTTCATTAATATGTTTTGGAATAAATGGAAATTGTTCACATAACATATTTAACCGGTTTCCCGAGAGATGTCCTAATCTATAATGCCAAAGGTTGGAGTTTGAGATGACATTGGTAGCACTTTCATTAATGGAAGTTTTTTTTGGTGAAAGAATCTTGGATTCTTTGTTGACTTGTAAATGAAGATTAGTCAAACCAATCATCCTCAACGTACGCTTATCCTGGATAGTGCAAAAGGAATCATGGAAGATGAGAATATATTTATGAGTCATTATGAGTTTGGATATGGATAAAAGATTAAAATGAAATTCCAAAACAAATTGTGAATGATAAATTCGGGAGAGAAAATTATTATTCCTAATATATGGGTAGTAACAATAGACTTATCAGGTAAACCTATTTGTATTGGTTTAATGTTAGAATAATTTGAAAAATAATTTAGAGAAGATGTAACATGATATGTTGCTCCCGAATTTATGATCCAGGGGACATTGTGAGTGGTGTAAAAGGTGTGGTGTGTGTTGTTGCAAAAAACAAAGCAGGTACCACTGGATGCAAATTTTTTTTTAGCATTTGGAGTGTTAATGAGGTTCACTCTATTGGGCTGAACAAGAGAGTTGAGCCCTGTTACATTAGAAGCATTTTTGTTGTTGTTGTGGTTGGAGCAAAGACATCAGGGTTTGATATTGGGTCTGGGTCAATGTGACGGGGCCTCCCTCCTTCTCTGAACAGTTGCCTCTCTCAATCGGTTCAATCACAGCTGCGTTGTTGATGGAGGAAGAACTAGAGGCATTACGGTTGAACATTGGCCTGCCAGGGTATCGAGGATGGCCAGGGGGATAGTCATGCTTTCCCCAACATATGTCAATGGTGTGTCCAGGACGGTGACAGTAGGAGCATTTCTTGTTAGAAACTCCTTTGACAGCGAAAGAAGGACCAGAGCCACACCCTTTGCCGGAGAAAGAGTGATTAGCTACGTTCATAAAGGTGTTGGGCTCAGTAGGCGAAGACGAAGCGAGTTGTCGTTCCTACTGGACAACCATGGAGAAGATGCGGTTGATAGCGAGGAAAGGATCCATCAAAAGGATTTGGGAACGCACAATAGAGAAGCGCTCGTCCAAACCTTTGAGGAATCAGATTATGAAATCATGTTGGTGGTAAGTTTTTGCAGGACACGAGCAAGAAGAGAACGGTCTGTAGTTATCGAGTTCTTCCCATAGGGTCTTCAGTGCAATGTATAACTCAGACATGACGAGTTCCTTGAGAAAGTCCATATATTTCTTCTTGGAGCTCTGCGATTCTGAGGAGATCGCCTTGCAAAAAATGTTCGTGAAGGTCATTCCAAATGTCTATGGCACACTCGAGGAAAATAACGCTTTGGGCGATGGAGGGAGTAACCGAGTTGAGTAACCACGACATAACGAGGGTATTGCACCTTTCCCAAGCAGAATAAAGAGGTTTTTCAACCTTAGGAACATGAATGGTCCCTAACAAGAAAGCCATCTTGTTTTTTGAGATTAAAGCCATTTTAATGGCACGAGACCAAGACTGATAGTTTGTGCCATCAATGACAGGGGTTATGGAGACAGAGGAGGGTCCTTCACTAGGATGAATGAAGAAGGGACTCAATGGGTTCATGGTAGGATCAGTGGCTTCATTGCCACGATTTTATTTCTTAAGACTTTCATTATTGGAGTTCTTTGGACTGTCAGGAGGAGTAGAAGACATTTGGAAGGAATAATCAAAGCTCCAGGAGGGAGCTCTGATACCATAAAAAGGAAGATGACAAAAGGTAAGAATGACAGTGGGAATGTTTTGATTTCAATTACCTTTAACAATGGATGATTCAATATTTATATACAAATGATTGTCCCAAATACAACCCATACTATTCTACAATTCGAATAGCAGAAAGGACAAAATAATAGTTAACAGAAGAAATATTGTACAAGTTTATTACAAAAAGAAGATTGTGCAAGATGGTTACCGAATGAATATTGTACAAGTTTTTTATGGGTCATGGTGAAAGTGATGGAAGAGTCAGTGGTCGATGAGGGACTGGGCATTAGAGTGGAGGTGGCTGGAGAGAGGGAGTGAGGGCGATACGATTGAGGAAGAAGATGAGAGTGTATAAATGGAAAGAGTGCAAGGGAAAGGTGAGAGGAACGGGAATAAGAGAGAATAAGGAATTGAGAAATTCGTTAGCTGAATGACATGCAAAATAGATATGATAAAATAAAGAAGAGGAAATAAAATAAAAAATTTAAAGAGAAAAAAATAAACGATATCTTAATAATGCTCCTTCACTTTTGAAATCGATAATTCACATTTTAAAATTTGATCTTGTATATTATTAAAATATTTAAATTTTAGTTTTCTAATAAATTCTGATTTTTTTTAATCAAATAAAAATTAAATGAAAAAATATTAAACATATTAAGCATACCATTTTATTTTTAAAATATTTAAAAGTTTTTTTCGATTATAATTTTTTTTATCACATTATATACATAATACAATAAATGAAAATAAATATTTATGAGAAAAATGTAAAATTATGAATCAAAATAAAAAAAATAAGATAAGACCTTACGAAATCAAAAAAAAAAAAATCGTGATTCGATGTATTATCTTAATTGAATTGTATATAATCAATAAATTTAGTTTTATCTTATTCACCCTTTTTATTTGTGTTCTGTCTTGTAGTTTGGGAGAAGGAAAAAAAAAAAAAAAAAAAAAAAAACAGAAATTCTAAAAAATAAAATGGAGAATATCTGGAAAAGGGGAATGGACAGTGGGCATGGAGAAATTCGGGAGAAAGGAAAATATTTGAAAAAAATAATGGGTGTATGATGGGATTTTTTTATAAATAATATTATTTTAATAAATATTTTCCAAAACAACTTTCTACAATATTATTTATCTATCTAATACCATTTATGGTGTACGTTTAGAATTCGTTCCAAAAAATCAAATTTTGATCTTATTTTTCTATTTTTTGTTGTTTTTTTATTAATTTTATAAATAGATTTTTTATAATTCTAAATATAATTTATTTTTAAGTTTATAATTATTATTTTAATTTATATAATATATATATATATATATAATTTGAAGTTTATATATATAATTTAAATTTATGTAATATATATAATTATAATTTATATAATATGTATAATTATAATTTATATAATATATATAATTTATTTAACATTAAAAATAGATATATTTTTATTAATTTTATAATTATAAATTTTTAAGTTTATAATTCTAAATATAATTTTTTTAAACTTTATAATTATAATTTATATAATATATATAATTTATAAATAGTTATTTTTTAATTTTAATTTGATATATTTTTTATTTGTAATTATTTAATGTATATTTAAAGTAATTTATTTATATGTTTATATATACTACTTTATAATTTAATTTGTATAAATAAAAAATAATTACTCTAAATTAATCAAGTAAATAATAAATTTTATTAATTGAAAAACTCCTAAGTTTCATAATATATGATGACATTTATTAACTAACACAGTCTAATGATGCTGAAATAGACGCACGTGAAACATTGAAACATGTTCTTCTGCTATAATCGAGGGTATGACAAAATAAACATTTTTTCATCCTACTTGGCCTATTTTTTATTTTTTTTATAACCTATTTTTTATTTTTTTTACAAACTTTATAGATAGGATGAAAAAATGTTTATTTTGTCATACCCCTGATTATAGCGAGAAGAACATGTTTCAATGTTTCACGTACGTCTACTTCGCATCATTAGACTGTGTTAGTTAATAAATGTCATCATATATTATGAAACTTAAGAGTTTTTCAATTAATAAAATTTATTATTTACTTGATTAATTTAGAGTAATTATTTTTTATTTATACAAATTAAATTATAAAGTATTATATATAAACATATAAATAAATTACTTTAAATATACATTAAATAATTACAAATAAAAAATATATATCAAATTAAAATTAAAAAATAACTATTTATAAATTATATATATTATATAAATTATAATTATAAAGTTAAAAAAATTATATTTAGAATTATAAACTTAAAAATTTATAATTATAAAATTAATAAAAATATATCTATTTTTAATGTTAAATAAATTATATATATTATATAAATTATAATTATACATATTATATAAATTATAATTATATATATTACATAAATTTAAATTATATATATGAACTTCAAATTAATTATATATATATATATTATATAAATAAAAATAATAATTATAAACTTAAAATAAATTATATTTAGAATTATAAAAATAATTATTTATAAAATTAATAAAACAAAAACAAAAACTAAAAAAATAATTAGAAAACCCATATTATAATTAGGATAAGGGGAACTGGAAAAATAAAAAAATTTGGTTCCTTGGATACCGAATTTCAAACGTGAACAGTGAATGATGTTAAATGGGTAAATAATATTATGGAGATAATGTTTGAAAAATATTTTTTAAAATGATCTTATTTATAAAAAAAATTGTATGACCATTAAAGAGAAGATTGAGAAGTTAGAACATATATTTATTACTTATTATTTTTTTATTTATTAATAAATATTTGATTTAAAGCTTGAAATTTTTTTGTTAATTATGATTTATTATTATTATTTTAATTATTTAGACAAAATTGAAGATTTAGGTTAGTTAAAGAGAATCTTCATTTATAAATCTTTAGAAGTTATCATATATACAATTAACTATGTATAATTAACGAATTTTTACTAAAATAATATTATTATAATATATATATATATACACATAACATAGCCTCTCATAAAATTATTTATTTAATTGGACATTTTTTCCTGTTGCACTTGGAATTCAATTTTCCAGTAAATCGAATTCCAACTTAAAACTTAACATTTTTTTTAAATAAAAAATTAAATAAAATATATAATTAAAAATAAAAAAATTATATAAAAATAATATTAAAATAAAATTTTAATTTTAAAATTTAAATAATATTTATATATAAAATAATAAAAATAATATATTATTTAAATATATATTAAATTATCTAAATATATTTAAATAATTATTAAAATATTAAATAATAATTCTTTATTATATTTATATATATATTTATTTATTTTTGAATAGAAAATTTAAAATTTATATATGTTTTTAATTATATGAATTATTTAAGTTATAATTTTAGAAAAAAATTGATAAATTTAATATATAATATGAAAAGTAAAATTAAAAATAAGTTATTAGTAGCAAAATAAAAATTATAGAACATGATATTAAAGAAAAATAAACTTATTGAAATAGAAATAAATAATAAAACACACCTTGTAATTGAAAAATGATTAATTATAAAAGACATACATAGAAATTGAAATGACTTAAATGAAAATGAATTAAAAGAGCTATATTGATGAAATCAAAAACGTAATAGACGTCGTCCTCGTTGTGAAGCTAGACACCACTCCGGAGATTAAAAATTTCTTAACATTATTGTCAATAATTTTATTTTTCAATTTTTATTACCAATGATTATGTTATTTTTAATATTATACATTAAATTTTGTCAATTTTTATTATTTTTTATTTTTAAGTTTATTTTATATTAATAATAATAATTGTTAACTAATTAAATAATATTTTTACTTTATTATTTTAAAAAAATTAATTTAGCATGAATGTTTTAATATAATATTTATAATTTATCAAATAAAAACTATTACATAAATTTTGATAATATAATATTTAATTTTTTAATATATTACCTAAATTAAATTTTTATTTATTATATTTTTTTCTAAAATTATAACTTAAATAATTAATATAATAAAAAAAATATAAATTTTAAATTTCTTATTCAAAAAAAAATATATAAAAAAATATAATAAAATTTATTATTTAATATTTTTAATAATAATTTAAATATATTAAATAATTTAATATATATTTAAATAATATATTATTTTTATTATTTTTTATATAAATATTATTTAAATTTTAAAATTAAAATTTTATTTTTTATATTAATTTTATTATTTTTAATTATATATTTTATTTAATTTTTTATTTAAAAAAAAGTGGTAAGTTTAAAGTTGGAATTCGGTTTACAGAAATCGAATTCCAAGTACAACGATAAAAGAGGTTCAGTTAAATAATTTCATCAGTATATATATATATATATATATATATATATATATATATATTATTTTAATAAAAAAGTCTACAATTAACTATCATATCTTTGTGAGAGTTGATGGTTTGTAATTCACGCCAAATCTTAATGACTTGTGTATCATATCCTGAGAAATCTCGGGTCATTTTAGTATCACCAAATTATTATCCATAATCTTGATTTGTTGTGTATTTTTAGAAATTGTTTTAGTATACGTCTTAGTTCCTAAAAATAAGTTAGAAACCTAGATAATGAGATCATCTATCTCATTTGTTTATATTTTTGTTTAAATCTATTAAACAATTTAAATTTTTTATTTTTTAGACACTACTTTCAAATCATTTTATCAAATTATTATTATCACATTTTGAGAATTAACTTATAATTTTATATATTACAAGTATTATAATTATTTAAGAAATTTTATGATTATTTATAAGAATTATCATTAAATTTTTTCTAGTTTTATTCTAATAACTTTAAAAATTGATTTAATTTTAAATATTATTTTATATATGATTATAATTACATGAGAAAAAATAATATTATATTATTACAAAAAAAGTAGTTATTATAATTATATTATAGTTAATATTATTAAACAAAACAAAATATTTTTATAATAAAAATACGCATAATTTTAAATATTTTTATATTAAAAATACGCATAATTTTAAATATTTTTATCGTGTACATTTAGAAATAATTTTTTACTATTAACATTTAAATACTTGTTACATCATATATTCATCTTGATATAGGATTTTTTTTTAATAATATCTTGATATTAAGATTGTTATATTGATAATACTAAGATAAAATAGATAAAAGAATACTTAATATATATATATATATATATATATATATATATAATTTGAATTAAATAATATTATGAAATAATAAAAATAGATAAATATGAAAAATAAAAAATAAAAAAATGAATTAAATAATATTGCAAAATAATAATACATTTCCGTTTATAATACATTTTTTTTCTTATTGAAAAAAGAACGACTGTCATTTATCTTTAATTTAAATTTAAATTGGAAAAATGAGTTAACCTGTTTTTTAATCTTTATAATATTCTAAATGCTACTGTTTCACGTTGAACTCTCACGACGGATTACCCTAAAACCCTAAACTCATAAACCTCCATTCCCGCCAGACACCACGGTGACCTAACGCAGTTCATGCAAGTAACGCACCCGTTTTACTCTCCCAGCATCATCACCACCACCACACCCGAAACAAAGCGATGAACTTCAGGTTCCAGAACCTCTTGGGAGCCCCCTACCGAGGGGGCAACGCTGTCATTTCAAGCAACACCCTGCTACTCTCTCCCGTCGGTAACCGTGTCGCCGTCACCGACCTCCTCAAGTCTGAAACTTCCACCCTCCCCATCCAGTCTTCCTCCAACGTCTCCCGCATTGCCGTCTCTCCCGACGCCACTTTCCTCCTCGCTATAGACGACCGCAACCGCTGCCTCTTCATCAACCTCCGCCGCCGCGCCGTCCTCCACCGCATCTCCTTCAAGCACCGCGTCGCCGCCGTCGAATTCAGCCCCGATGGCTCCCTCATCGCTGTCGGCGCCGGGAAGCTAGTCCAGATCTGGCGCTCCCCATCCTTCCGCCGCGAGTACTTCCCCTTCGAGCTTGTGCGCACCTTCGCTGACTTCGACGGGAAAATAACCACCCTCGATTGGAGCCCGGACTCGAAGTACCTGATCGTCGGGTCCAAGGATTTAACCGCGAGAATCTTGTGCTTGAAGAAATTGAATAGCAGTGTTAAGAAAAAACCTTTTTTGCTCCTAGGGCATAGGGATTCGGTTGTAGGTTCGTTCTTTGGTGTGAATTCGAAAACTAACAGGGTTTGTAAGGCTTATACGGTTACTAGGGATTGTTATTTGTTTAGCTGGGGTTTTACATCTGATAATAGTGGTGAGGGTGAAGGTTCGGAGCCGCCCTCGCCAGGGACGCCGGACAGGGACGTGGAAGGGAATTTGGAGGTTATTGAGAATGATGGTGTGAAGAAGAGGAAGAAAGTTGATGTTCAGGATGGTGATGAGGGTTATTTGAGTAGAGGAAAGTGGGAGTTATTGAGGAAGGATGGGTTTATGCAGGGATCGGCGAAGGTGACGGCATGTGATTATCATAGGGGGCTAGATATGGTGGTTGTTGGATTTTCAAATGGTGTGTTTGGGTTGTATCAAATGCCGGATTTTGTGTGCATTCATTTGTTGTCTATTTCGAGGGAGAAGATTACCACTGCTGTGTTTAATGAGCTTGGGAACTGGTTGACATTTGGCTGTGCTAAATTGGGGCAGCTGTTGGTGTGGGAGTGGCGGTCTGAGAGCTACATTTTGAAGCAACAGGGACATTACTTTGATGTGAATTGCGTTGCGTATTCGGCAGACTCACAGCTCCTTGCCACTGGAGCAGATGATAATAAAGTGAAGGTGATTGAATTTGACTTGTGTTTGGGGTTTTGAAATTTGATCCAGCTTTGACTGATTGCTTTGTGTTGTGCCTTTTTTGTAATTTGTGTATTGCACTGGTTTTGAAATTGAATTGAAAATAAGTGACAGCTCTGTTGTTGTGTTTGCAGGTATGGACACTTTCGTCAGGGTTTTGCTTTGTTACATTTTCGGAGCACGCTAATGCTGTTACGGCTTTACATTTTATGGCAAGTAACAATTGCCTGCTTAGTGCATCTCTTGATGGGACTATTCGTGCATGGGATTTATTACGCTACCGGAATTTTAGGACATTTACAACCCCTTCTTCAAGACAGTTTGTCTCTCTGACAGCTGATCAAAGTGGTGAAGTCATATGTGCTGGCACTTCAGATTCCTTTGAGGTATAGTTTCGCACAAATTATGTTGATTCTGAATATATCATTATTATTTTACCATTCACCTCTTTTGCTCAATGATATGTGTTACAGATTTTTGTTTGGTCAATGAGAACGGGCCGCTTATTGGATGTGCTCAGTGGTCATGAAGCTCCCGTTCGTGGACTAGTCTTTTCTCCCACAAATGTTAGTTATATCTTCTTCTGTTGGTATTTACCTGCATAAGTCAATTTCTTATCTGCTGTAGTATTTTTAGTGGTTCAATTTTCCTCTTTAGTTCAAATTTATGCGAAGCCATGTTTCATTTTTTCAATTTATAAATAATATTTTCTTCTAAGCTTCTAGCGCATCATCAAATATCAATAATACTATTGTCTCTGGAGATATCTGGAGATATAATGATGAAGGGAACTACTAAAGTTTGTATTTTGTTTTATGTTTTTTACATCTATAATAACGTAAAACCTTAACATCATCTCATTTCACTCTCAGGCTGTCTTGGCTTCATCATCATATGATAGAACTGTTCGGTTGTGGGATGTCTTTGATGGAAAAGGAGCTGTTGAATCATTTCCTCACACACATGATGTTCTTACAGTAGTTTATCGTCCAGATGGAAGGCAGTTAGCTTGCAGCACATTAGATGGGCAAATTCATTTTTGGGACCCGATAGATGGTTTGTTGATGTACACCATAGAAGGTTCTAGAGATATTGCTGGTGGGCGTCTTATGACTGACCGTAGATCAGCTGCTAACTCAACTTCAGGGAAGTTCTTTACAACCTTGTGTTATTCAGCTGATGGAAGCTACATATTAGCTGGGGGAAGCAGCAGATACATCTGCATGTATGATGTTGCAGATCAGGTTGGTTTACAAGTACTTTGATTGATTTTCATATATGTAGAAGTCACATAATGTCAACTGTTAATTGATTTCTGAAAATTTCATCCTGTAGAAAGCTTCTATATTGATTCATGGCGCATGTTAATGTTATACATACTATCCATGCGTTTTTGCTCTTCAGTTTAGTCCAACACATTATTGGTTAAACAAATATGTTTTGGATGTGGGGCAATTAGATAATTAATAAACTACAAAAAAGCAAGAAATGTTTTGCAAACTTTTGCATTATAATGATACTCACACACAACACTGACACAATATATATAATGTTAAAGCATTCTCTTTTATCATAACTTTTTGTCTAAATATTGAAGCTTAATTGCTGTCTGGGGTCAATGTGTACTGTTGCCCTTTAGTAAATGGATATATTGAAAATTGAAGATACATATCATTTTACAACCTTCTGTAGGTGATGTAGATTAGCTGCCGCAGAGTGAGGACTTTTGAGCCTCAGTGCACCTATAAGTTTAATGATACAAATGTTGAAGGCTGTTAAGTTCTTGTAGAGAAAGGCTGCTTAGTTCACAAATTTGATCCATTCCTGTGTTAGTATAATAAATCTTTGTGATACCACCCTCCCTTTGAGTTTTAACCAGGCGTGTCCACAACAAATTTTCACTCTTAGTTTTCATAAACGCATTTCTAACATCAAACCACCCTGTTTTCTCTAGGTTTCAATCCTAGGGCTACTTCTTTCCAGGATCCAATTGTCAATAGAATCTCCAAGTACCAGTATAACTGAAAGGATGAGGAACTTCATTTGGTCTTTAGGATATATAAGAAAAAGATTATCTTGCTGGTTGGGGAATTTAAATCAGTTTCCTCTTGTAGAACCATCTATGCTATGCAAAGGTTGATGAAAGCCTTTTGTTTATATTCTCTTATATCTATTTTCATCTTTGGAATATTTTATGTTCTCTTTTATGTCCAATGTTAATAATACATTTGATGGTTAAAATATGTTACTCTTGAAGTCTTCGCTCATCTGTGCCCCATTCTGTCCATTTATGCCTCCAATTATACTGGTCTTATTATTTGTATTCTTTGTCTGTGTGTATATAAATTACGGGGTATTCAAAGTGGATGCCTATTTAAAGTGGACTACACTATCTACTTGTTTACATATCGTAGTACATCTCTGTTTATTAATTGGAATCTCTTTTGTGTTCAGGTTTTACTTCGACGTTTCCAGATAACTCACAATCTCTCTTTAGATGGAGTGCTTGACATTTTAAACTCAAAAAATATGACAGATGCTGGCCCACTAGATTTGATTGATGATGACAACAGTGACGTTGAAGAAGGTGTTGACAAACAAACCCGAGGGAAACTAGGATTAGACTTGCCAGGATCTATGCCTAACCGTGGAAGGCCTATTATTCAGACAAAGTCCCTGAGAATTGCACCTACAGGGCGTAGTTTTGTTGCGGCAACAACTGAGGGAGTTTTGGTTTATTCTGTTGATGAATCTTTTATATTTGATCCAACTGACCTTGACATAAATGTTACGCCAGAGGTAATTTAACTTCATTGAAAGAACTAGCGCTGTTTACTTCAAAGAATATAAGATTATTCCAGACACTATTTTCTGTTGTAAGAAATGAGTTAGAGTACACCTACTTTTATTTCAAAGAATGTAAGATTATTCCAGAAACTATTTTCTATTGTAAGAAATGAGTTATAGTGCGCACCTACTTTAAAAACTACTAAACAACTACTTGTCCTCCAATAATTTGTGTTTGAGTTGTTCTGGTGGTAGTTGTAATATACTTGTAAGAAGAGGATGCAGTTTTCCTCTTAGAGTGGATTTTTTCACATCATTGTTCTTTTTATTCATGTCAGTCAACATAAAACTCAAGAAGAGTATAATTTCATTTTTCAACAATTTATTAAAAATGGTAAAATTTCTGCACCAGATACAAGTGAACAAATTCCTAGATCTATTTTTCCATTTTAATTTCACTGCACTGTTTCCTGTTTAGATGTCGTTAGTAACTTGACCTGGCATTTCTGAACAGGCTGTTGAAGAAGCTCTTCGTGAAAATCAAACAAGTAAAGCCTTGATTCTTAGCCTTCGCTTGAATGAGGATTCTTTCATTAAAACTTGTATATTTTCGGTTAGTCCAGCAGATATTCCAGCAGTTGCCACATCAATCCCTTACAAATATATCCAACGATTAGTGGAAGCACTTGCAGATCGTTTAGAAAACTGCCCACATTTGGAATTTATACTTCGATGGTGTCAGGTATTCTTTACTTCCTCAGATTTAGTCTTTTCATAAGTTTTCAAAGGTCATACTAGTTCTATAAAATAATCTTTATTTTTTATATGATTTGACAGGAGCTCTGCAAGGCCCATGGGAATTCTATTCAGCAGAACTCTCGCAATCTGTTACCGTCATTAAAATCTTTGCAGAAAGCAATCACTAGAATTCATCAGGATCTAGCAGATACATGTTCTTCCAACGAATATATGCTACGGTATTTATGCTCTTCTGGTGCCAAGAAATGAATGTTAAGAATTCACCGAGTTGGATTTTAGCAGCTTTCCTCAAGAATCCTTGTCCAGCCTGAGTATTATTTAATCTCGTACCTGCTGAGCATCATTAGCGAGTAGCACATAGCAACCTTTGAAGAATCAAGCAGGATTTTGATGCCATCTCCAAATGATTTTGTCCTTCAATAAAGTTTTAATTTCTTGAAGGTGTGGCCAGGTGTGTTTAGAAGTGTACTTGTAATTTAACCAAGACATCTTCATAAATAAGCATAGTGTGACATTTCTTTGTAATGTGGTGGTGGTTAACAGATCGCAGAGTTGGAGATTCCTGCTTGATATACCCAGCAATGTGCCCCGAATCAGTTATTTTAGAATTAATTAATGAAAAAAGTTAGAAATTTTTGTTCAGAAATTTTGCCCCAGATTACTTATTTCGTATAGCAGCCACCATTGAATGGTATCAAATTATGATATTTTTTTATTGGTATCTTGTACGATTGTTATTGTTTTTTCATAAGTAAATTTAATTGTTGGCAATATTGTCAAATTTGTTCAAGAACATATCTGACAAATGTTATTTTTGGAATTTAATATTATAATATTTCAAAATTATCCTTTTATGAATTTTTGTCGTATATTTCTAAAATTAAAATTTTGCAAGACTACTTGTTACAAGACGTTGTGGGAATAAAGATTCAAAATTCTTTTTGCCTATATATATATATATATATATATATTCAAAATTGAATTATAATTTTATTTTAAGAAAGAAATAAAACAAAATAAAGTTAATTTATTCAAAAGATAAAACTGATTTATGTATAAATTAATTTATCGAAATTTTCTTTTTTAAAACATCTCAACTTTTAATTTTTTTTAGTGCATATACTAATTTTAATTATACTTAAAAAATGGACAATTTCATTTAAACATATTCTAAATGGACTTTGGGAAATTTAATTACATAATATAAAATAGATTTTAGAAGATATACTAGGAGTATTTAGAAAAAAAAAAAAGTGGCGTGGTTAGGAAATAATAATTTTTAAGTCAATTTCTTAACTTTTATTTAAAGGTTGCAAAACGATTATTTATCAATCTTTATATCTAATCTATTAAAATAACTATTTATTTCATTGATTATACAGATATCAAATTAAATATAGTTATTTTATTTTCTGAATGATTAATAATTTATTTATTATTTCTCAAAATATAATGTGTTATCTATTAATATGTAGCAAATAAAAAATAATATAACCAAAATTTTTATTGTTAAATCTTTCTCAATACCTTTTTAACAAAACTAAAAAAAATAAAAAATTAATCCCAAACCTTTCTTGAGAAAAATATTAGCTAACCTGACTTCCTAGTAAACACTTCCATAACTTTTTTATGTTATTTATTTATTCAGAGATAAAAAATAAATAAATTACATTAATCACACACATTTACAGATAATGATTCTAGAACAGATATTTTAAAATAAACTTAAATTTGATTTCAAAGTGATTAACTTTTGTAGGTTTTCAATAACTTTTTTCTTAATAAGTTATGAGGATGATTCTTCTGTTTATTTATTTAACTTCTATTACTTTATCATGACTCTAATTATATATATATATATATATATATATATTAGAAAAATGATATATTTCATAGTTTTCCTCAGTTAAATATAATTTTTTGATGGAAAAATATACTAATATTAGTTGTATTGATGTTTAAATGTTTCTTCAGAATCTTCCTTATATATAAAACTTATATAAAAGTACACGTGGCGTCCTTTCATTTCTTAATTAGCTTTCTTTTCAAGATGTTATTTAATTTTGTCTTATTTTATAAATCTACATCTTTCAATATATAATTAATTTATAAAAATTACTTTTAATGATTAATTAATCCACACTCATTTTGTAGAATATTTATGTTAATTTGTTGTAGTAATTTTCAAATATATTCCAAGTGTAACTCTTTTTCTACCAAATGTCAAGTCATATACAGATAATGATTCTTTGTCGTTATTATCACATATAACAAATACATATGAAGTTTTGTAAATTTAATAAATTCAAAGTTTAATTGATACAACCAAGAAAATTAATGAACTGATAAGGACAAAAATTAGTACTTTATTAGCACATCCTTTACTAAATCCGGGACCAAATTACGCTCGTGTCCAAAAATGGTTCCTTCGTTCTCAACCCGCTCTTCCTTTCGCGGGTGTTATAAAGAATTTTTTTTGAAAAATTTCGAGAACCCTACCCTACCCCACAAGGGTCCCCTTCCACCTTTGCACCATTTCTATGCTCACGTTTATTGGTTCTAGCTCCTGTGTCCCTCTCACACTCACTGCACCTTTGCTTTTTGCTACCCACTATCCACACTCTCTTTTTGATTTTTATTTTCTCGTTCTCTTTTCTCAATTTCAACACATATGTTACTCTAAGTTCTAACTCACCCGCTTCCGGTTCCACCGTCTTTTAGATCTACATTTTTAGTACCTCGTGAAGCAAACACTCTTTAATCACGCACATTGTCATTCTCTCTGCACGTATGTTTCTCTCTCGCACATAGATCCAAACCACAGTGCTTGGCGTGGCGTTTAGTTTAAACCGCTGCGGTTAATAATAGTTTAGCTCTTTAACTTGCCGTCGCTACTGACTTGCTATTTTGTTTTTCAGTTCGTCGAGTTTCTGGAACCTTGGCGGTCGAATGGAGGTGTCTTCGGAGCAGTCTGGCGAAGGCGTGGCATCGGAAAAGCCTCTGAGTTCCCCGAAGAAGAATGTTCCAGAAGCTTCCAGGAGAGCTGCAAAAGCCGCCGCGGACCCTGGCGGTGCGGCAAAAAGGAAAATCGAACCGCGAAGCGGTTCGAGTACCGGTTCCGGCGCCGTTCCGGCAAGGAGATCGGGTTCAATCGGCGGTTCCGCGAGTTCGGTTACCGCGCCGAGACGGAACAGCACCGGAGGATTGTCTCAGAAGTCGTCGATCTCTGCTGGAGGGAGAAAAGCCGATTCTGAATCTGTTGCTGGAGGTAAGAGCAGCGTTTCGTCGGCGAATGAACCTGTCCGGAAGTCGTTGCCGGAGCTCCAGCGTGGTTCTGTAACTTCTTCGCGTGCCGGCGCTGCGGCGAAGCCTGCTGCAGTTTCGCTGGTTGATTCGGCTTCTAAGAGTGCCCGTGTGAGGAAGGCGGAGGTTGCGAGGAAGCCGGCATTGTCGGCTTCGGCTTCGGCTTCGTCTGTTTCGAGAAGGATTAGTTCTTCGTCGATGGATAGCACTGCCAGCAGCGGAGGTTCTACTCGAAGGACGGTTTCCAGGGTTTCTTCGCCGACGGTTTCCAGCGGGTTAAAGGCGGGGTCCCTGTCGATGTCGCAGGATAGGGCTTCTGTACTTTCTGGAAGAAGGAAGGGAGGCACTCCTGATAGCCGGGATTCGCGGTTTATTGTTCTTCCGCATGTTGAGATTAAGGCCAATGATGACTTGGTAAGTTTTGAGAATTTGGCGGCATTTTAAGTTTACTGTTAAGGATTTCATTGGTGAGTTGCTGTTGATTGTCATGTGGTTGTAGAATTATTGGGGAAAGAATAGAAAGAAGGAATTATACCTGCATAGGTATCAACAGTGGAAGGGAAATAATTGCTGGAAAAAGAAAAAATTATGAATACTAGTTGAATGATTTTTTGGATGAGTATGGAACGATGCAAATAATATAGTAGCGTGCACAATCATTCTTGTTGAAATTTGATTGACTTGTTTGTATATGTTTTATTTTATTCACTTTTTAGTAACTATTACTAGTTGGTATTTAGTGTATTCAAGTGGTGTAGGTAGCGTAAAATGGTCTCACCCTACTGTGGGGTGGAGGGCACAGTTGCCGGTATCTAATGTTTGCCTGAAGTTAAACTTCTTCTATTGTATATTGAGCAACTACAATGGACTTTTCAGACCCAATAATTATCTAATTCTAATTTCTGATCCATCTCGTTGTTTTATCAGAGACTGGATCTAAGGGGACACAGAGTTCGTAATCTCACTGCCAGTGGATTAAACTTATCCTCAAACTTAGAGGTAAATGTATCTTCTGTTTATCTTACTATTTATTTTGATAATATGTTCAAAGTTATTTATTGCAATATGTAGAACAATTTAATTTATGCTAGGGAATAACCACATTTTATTTACTCCTGAATAGCAAATGAGCAAGGGTATATGAATATATTTATGTTGACGTGCGGTCTATTAGTTGCTCTGATTACTTTTGATCATTTCCCTTTGTCTATATATTTTTGAATTCAGTTCACTCTCTGCAGTATTGAAAACAGATTAAGTACAAATTATTCATTGGCATGAAAAAAAAAGCTGAGTAAAGTGCACCACTTTTTGGTGCCCCATGTATTAACTATTAAACTTAAACACGTATTGACATGTCTAATGTAAAAATATAGGGATTAGGTCTTTGATATATGTATATATCAAATATTGTATCTGGTAGTGTCGTATACCACATGAAATTAAGTGTAAGTTACAGAACAGAAGATCTAAAATAGTGTTTAAGGGTTGTATTTTCTTGTATATTAACTCACTTTATGATAGTGAGCCTTAGAGAAAAACACATTTTTAGTCTTGGAGTTTTGGACTTAGGGTCTGAGTCAACTCACAAAATCAAGTTATAGGGTGACAATGCCCAAGCCTTATAAGCATTGATGGTGATTATATAAGTTGTGCTGTGATAGATATAGGTTAATATATAAAAGGAGAGAAAAAACGGGTTAAAAAAAAACAGTTGGCATTGTAATTTCTTTAGGCAGAACAGACTTAGTATATAAGTCTATCAGGGAAGACTGAGGAGGGAATAAAAAAATAGAGTTTCAGGGTGATCTCGATTGGAGAGAGAAAGGGTAGGATTGGGAAGATTGCTTCCAGCTGTAAAGTGCATTGTCATTACATTGTGCGAGGAAATTTTGTACTATCTCATAGATACATCAATTCATATTAATAAGAGGTATATTCCTTCAAAGATTGACAGTGTTAATCAATTACAGCAGGAGAGAGATGACATTCTTAAGGAGTTAAAAGTGAACCTAGCTAAGGCCCAGAATCAAAACAAAGTTCAGGCCAATAAACATTGTAGGGATGTTGAGTATCAAGTGGGAGATTGGGTATATTTGAAGCTACAACCTTATAGGCTTAAATCCTTGGCTAAGCGCCCAAATGAGAAGTTAGCTCCGTGATTTTATGGCCCTTACCAGGTGATTGATAGAATTGGACAGGTTGCCTACAAATTGGAGTTACCTCCACACAACAAAATACATCTAGTGTTGAAAGTCCCACATCGCCTACCTCATGTCATTTGGTATGGTTTAAATACATGTTAGGCTACTCCACATATTGCCAATTGGTTTTATGTTGGAACCTTAACATGGTATCGAGCCAAAGCCTAACATCTTTCCTAGGTTATTGTCATGGGCCAAAAGTTGCCCTTTAGTTGGGTCAAAGTACCCTTTGCACTGGTCCGGCGGGCTTCGTTGGAGGGTGTCTTGAAAGTCCCACATCGCATACCTCATGTCATTTGGTATGGTTTAAATACATGTTAGGCTACTCCACATATTGCCAATTGGTTTTATGTTGGAACCTTAACATCTAGTATTTCATGTTTCACTGTTAAAGAAAACCATTCAGCCATCGACGGATCCTCAACCATTATCAGCTTCATTAACATAAGATCATGAATTAATTATGTCACGAGCTCAATTACTAGACACACGCACCAACAGTCAAGGAAAGATGGAAGCCCTCATCCAATGGAAAGATCTTCCACCTACGGAGAGTAGTTGGGAATTAGCTGAAGTTATATCCAAGGAATTTCCTGCATTTCACCTTGAGGACAAGGTGAAGCTTCAGGGGGGAGTAATGATAGATATAGGTTAATATATAAAAGGAGAGAAAAAATGGGTTAAAAAAAAAAAACAGCTGACATTGTAATTTTTTTAGGCAGAACAGATTTAGTATATAAGTCTGTTAGGGAAGGCTGAGGAGGGAATAAAAAAATAGAGTTTCAGGGTGATCTCGATTGGAGAGAGAAAGGGTAGGATTAGGAAGATTGCTTCCAGCTTTAAAGTGCATTGTCATTACATTGTGCAAGGAAATTTTGTACTATCTCATAGATACGTCAATTCATATTAATAAGAAGTATATTCAATTTAGCAGAGATATCAAACCTATCATGCTGTTATTAGATGTTTAAAATAACACCCATTCTACTTCCTGCTATAGCGTTTTCTAAGTAAAAACACTGCTATATATAACTGTGATTGCATGGTTAGATTGATGTAGGCATAACATGTTACGATAGTTGTTGTAACTAAATACACGTGCAGTAACAGAAATAATGGATGATAGTTGTTTTCAATACTGAGTATAAAAGGGTAATTGAATGATAAAGAAAGGGGGAATTGAATTAGATTGTATTCTGTTTCTATCAATCTTGAATGAATCTTGGAATGTTTCTGTAATATACATTCCCTGTGTTTGTATTCTTTGAGTGTTTCCTAGAATACAGGTTTTATACAGCATAACGTTTCCCCAAATGTTTGCCCTCCTTGAAATACCAAGATTAGTGAGTTGGTGTTGGTTCAGCATCAACTGTTCCTGTCAATGGTTTTTGGTTTTGTTCTTTAATTTGCCATCAATTGTTCCAACTACTGCATAGTGTATATGTGAGTATATTACTCCTTTGTGTCAAATAAAACTCTTGCGGTTACTATAATAGGGTGCTATCTGTTAGTTGTTACTGACTTGGTTGGTTTGCTATAAGTAACCTGGTTAGTCTACTACAACCGATTCCTATTGAGTCTCTGTAGTATATATAGGTGTGTAAACAGAGACTCAATCACTTATGTATTGTTCAGTCTATAATGCCAAAATACATCTTCTCTCTAACAGTAAGGGAGAGAATTTTATGTTGTATTTTTTTGTACCCTGGTTTGTTTTTATTTTGTGGATTTTCATAATTAATAGCACTTATGATTCTTATTGGCAGTTTGTTTATCTCCGAGACAATCTGTTGTCTACACTGGAAGGAGTAGAAATATTGTCGAGAGTGAAGGTTTTATATTATAATAATTTACATTTAGAATGTTATGTTTGAACAATATCAAATATGAATTTATAGACTGATTCAAAGAAACTATTTACTTTCGCAGGTTCTTGATTTGAGTTTTAATGATTTTAAGGGGCCTGGATTTGAGCCTCTTGAGAATTGCAAAGTACTGCAGGTATGTTGTCTTCAGTTGAATTTAGTTTTATGTGTGGATGATTTTGTCTTGTGGCTAAGATAAGAATGTTGAAAGACATGAATACTTGTTTCATAACTGCAGTTTGAAATCTTTAACTTGTATGCAGCAACTCTATCTTGCTGGAAATCAAATTACATCATTGGCAAGTCTCCCTCAACTTCCTAATTTGGAGGCAAGCTTAAAACCCCCTTCTCTCTTTTTTCTTTTTATTAAGGTATTCAACTTCACTGTTCGTCAAAACTTTTTGGTATTTTCTGGGTTTCGTTTTTGCAGTTTCTTTCAGTAGCTCAGAATAAGTTGAAGTCTCTGACCATGGCTAGCCAACCTCGACTTCAGGTTGTTCACCTTTATGGAGTATTGACTATATGTATTCTTTGTGTTTTTGTACATGCACTGTATAACTGAATTGTTTATGAATGATATAATTTGGTGCAGGTCTTAGCTGCCAGCAAAAACAAAATTTCGACTCTCAAGGGTTTCCCATATTTACCTGTTCTTGAGGTTAGTGGGAAACATTTTTATTTGGTCTAACCTAAGAGTTCTGACTCATCAATTTTATTTTAGTAGACTTTCTATTGGGCATAGTTCATCATTTTGTGTTAATTCTGATAAATTATCATAGTTCATTGATTTTTTGAACTTTATAATCTTTTCAATTTTATGGTTTGTGTTTTTGAATCTTGGTGAATTGCTGGTTTTTGAAAAATGTACTAGGAAATTGTATGGGTTGTTATGTGAATGTAATGTGTGGTTAAGTTGTATGTTCATCATTTTCATAGATTACATCTTTTGGCTTAGATTGTGTGGTATTTTATCGTTGATTCGCATTGTCTAGGAACCTAATGTTCGAAGTTCCACATCGAGTATAATGAACTCTTGATGTGGTATTTAATCCTTGAGGCTCTCTTTCACCTAATGGACTAGTCTTTTGTGTTTGGATTCTCCTGTTACGCTTAAATCCTAACAATAGGTGCTTTTATTGAGAGTTGAGATACAAAAAAGGCTACTTATAGGCTAGATTTAGGTGCAAACCAAATACTTCTTGGCATGTGAAGCCATCAAAGAGAAAATGGACAACCATTGAGTCATTTTTGATAGAGTAAGGCTTCCTTAGATGTTGACCCTTAAAAAAAAAGGGGGGGGATGTTAGGAGTCCCATATTGAATATAATGAATTATTTGATGGGATACTTAAGCTTTGAGGTTCCTCTACTTAATGGACTAGTAGTTTTGGTTGGATTCTTTTTTCGCACTTTCTCAATGGTATAGTTTCTTTAATTAAGAGTTGGGCTATGGAAAGGGCTACTCATGGGTTGGATTAAGATGCAAACTGAATATTGATAGATGAGTGAAGCTGTCTCAAAGAAAAAAGGGTTACCATCGAGTTAGTGGTGATAGAGTAAAGCCACTGGGTATGTTGTCCATTAAAGGGGTTGACAATGTTAACATTGAGTAGAATGAACTACTTCATATGGTACATAAGTCTTGAGGCTTTCCCACCTAATTGTCTAGTCTTTTGGGTTGGGCTCTCTTCTTGTGCTTAAGTTATAACGCCTATGTTTTCACATTGTTGAGTTTTCATGTTAATATTTCTAATACACCCCCCACCACACATGAAAGCCCTTTTGGTTTTGGAGGTTGGAGAAGTACATGCCTCTGACTTTTGTAAGTTTACTTTGGTTATTAACATCAGAGTTTTTGATATCAAACTTGTTGACCTTTCTTGATTATTAATGTTTACCAACCAGTTTATTAACAACATTGTAGGCAAGATGATAACATTTATGTATATTACAAACATTAGTTCAGTATGGAATTTTATTTCTTAAAATAAAATTGTATATAATCCTGCTATGCATGGGTTGCATTGTGTTTTTGGCCAAGGGCTTCTCTTACCAAGTTTTTAAACTAATCCAGCCTTAAATTTAGATAGTTTATTTATTTTTTACTATCAGCTAATCATGGGTTGCCATATATTTTGAAAATTGTAGGCTTGTAATAATTGTTTTAGTAGTCATATTTAGTGTGGTTTCTAATTGGCTTACAATGTAAACATCGTGGATAATGCATCAAAACTAAAATTGTTTTCTTTTGGATTCTACAGTTGCCATAGATTTTCTAAATGGTTGCACCTTGGTATCCATTAATTTAGTCATATGATGTGGGTGATTTTTTCTTAGGTAAAAACTCGATCATACATTGGACTGGTCATGGTAGGAGTGCAATTAGAAGCACTTGGTATTTATTCAATCTAATTGGAAACTTTCACAATATAGGTATTAGTTTAAAGATTGGATAAATATAGTGTTAGAATATGTATTAAATATAGGTAGAAAGTAGTTGTATTAAAAAGTTGTTTCATGCTGTACTATCTCTATACCTAGGTTTCTAGTTCAGGCTTTTGACCTTTGATCCTCCCTCTACTCACTGTATCAGTATTCCATCATTATAAATAAGAGATCACAAGAGAGGTGTGATTAAGCCTCTCAAATATATCTCATTTCTATTTTATTTATCTCAAATTATAGTAACTAAACTTGAAGTTTCAATTTTGAGTAACTTTTAGACACTTACATTAGTATTATATACACATGTTTGGGTGCACACATAAATGTAGATTGGTTGATGTTACTGTCAGTGATTTTTTGTGTCCCGTAGCATTTGCGAGTGGAGGAGAATCCTATACTTAAAATGCCTCATTTGGAAGCAGCCTCAATATTACTAGTTGGACCTACTTTGAAAAAATACAATGATAGAGGTATGTGTATTCAAGTTATTCTTAGCTTTGGTATCTTTATTTTTTGGTTGTACAGATAGACAACTGATTCTTACTATAGGTTAAAGAGTAGTTGCCATATATGTTTTCTTCAAGTGATTTCTACTGGAATCATTGAACTTATATGTCATGTATTAAGATTTTATTTATTGAATATGAAAAGTTTTGCAGATCTCTCTCGTGAGGAAGTGGCACTAGCAAAGCGTTATCCTGCACAGACAGCTTTATGCATTAGAGCTGGTTGGGAGTTTAGTCGCCCTGAGCAAGCTGCAGAGTCAACTTTCCGCTTTTTAGTTGAGCAATGGAAAGACCATATTCCTCCGGGTTTTCTTCTCAAAGAAGCCTCCATAGATAAACCTGTGGAGCAAGATGTGTGTCGTTGTCATTTCACCATTATTCATGATGGTGCAGCTAGTACAGGCCCTCCATTAGTTTTAAAATATCAATGGTTTTGTGGTGATTTATCGCTTTCAAATTTTGTTCCTATTCCAGATGCTACCGATGAGGTAATGAGTTGATTACATTATTTCCACTGCGTCGTTCTTTTGTTTGTCTTTAGATCTGTTTATGTTATTTGTGTTGTTCAATTTTTAGGATTACTGGCCAAAGCATGATGACATTGGAAAGGTTCTGAAAGTGGAATGCACTCTCACTCTAGGAGAAATGACATATCCTCCTATATTTGCCATCTCATCTCGTATATCGCGAGGTAGACCTGTGTTGTGTCTGTATATATTGTATAGTTTAGATGAACAGCTAAAATTTCTAGATCCTATTTAGCCTGATAGGAATAAAGTGATCCACTTACTTTATTAGCATAAAGCTGTGGAAGTAAATGTGTTATTACTTCAAATGGATTTTGAATTCCTTTTCTGTTTGTATTCTTCACATTACTGTTTGCTTTTAAAACATGCATATTCTATTTGTTATTGTGTGTATGCATTTTCCAAATATGCTTTCAAACAGACACAATCTTGGAATTTCTTGTAGGAGATAAACTCAGCATCCCTGAGTATAAATCTTGAAACTCTGAACAAAAATAGAAGATGATTACACGATTCAACTTTCTGATCAATTTACTGATAGACAATAATTTACATGTTAAATTTGAAACATGAAGAACATAATTTAAGTTAAAATTAGGCGTTGTTGTGGATCTTCATCCAGCAAAAGTAGGGAAGGTTCTATCAACAAATATGATTTGGAAATTTCCTGAACAGGGGGTGTAAGTTGAGAAGGTTTCTGGGCATCTAATCATATGATTAAGAACATCAGAGACCATTATCTGTACTCTGTAACTCCAGAGTTTGTACGTCGTAAGTCAGTAGAGAAGTTATCTTTTTGGGCTGGATCGTAGGAAGTGAAATCATAGTCATGGATAAGGACCCTAGACTGGGAAACTTTTACGGGGTTGAAGAACCCTTGTATGGCTTGTCAGGCACAACTAAGAATGGATATCAAAGGGACGGATGCTCTGATATCATTAAGGAAATAGAGAAATGTTCTTTTATCTCATGATCAGTAAAATATATACAAAATATATTTCCTAAAACAAACCATATGAAAAAGGGGTCTAAAAATAATCATAATTACAAAATATATAAAAACTCATAATCAGTAAATAGGATTTGTAAAAAATCTCCTATTAATTAAGATAGAAGCTCTCAGTAGCAGTTTTTGATACTGTTATTAAAATTCAGCCAACAAGGGTCATTATTTCAACAATCTTGTGTCATGTCAAAAGGTGCATTGCTAGTGTGAAACTTTGTATTGTTAATAAATCAAAATTTCATAGAAAAATATCCAACAACAAAAGTCTTTTTCCACTATGTGAAGTCATTTAGATGGATCACACATCATTTGGCTCATTTAAAGATAAGATTTTTAGAGATATTATTTACTTTTAAATACTTAATAATTGTCTTCATTGTTCTTGGTTTTCCTCTCCCTTTTCCTAGGACTAAAACCATGCTACAAAATTTTGTTACTGGTGCTTTTGGTGGCCTCTTTTGTATGTGTCTAAATCATCTCAAGTGATCTTTTGTCTATTCCCCAATTGTTGTTATACATAGTTCTCGTTTATAATTATTTCATATCTTGTGTCTTAACATCCGTTTTATCACTCATTTTTGTTACTACTACCTTTTTTTCTCATGTTGCTCCTTGATAGCCCAATGACAATTAGTTCCATAGAGTCTAACGAGACAAATAAATGCACAATCAAACTTGCCTTTGAGCTTGATAGGTACTTTGTGATCACATGAATCTTTATAGTTTTCTCCGTTTTATCCCTCATGCTTGTACTACGAGTGTGATGTCCTAGTCAATTTCCCTATTATTAAATGCAGAGAAAATATAAGATGTCTAAATTTTTTAAGCTGTACTCTATTCACTGTTCAATGTTCATTGAGATGCTGTTGACTAACCTGTCTTTCTTACTGGCAAAAGAACAAAGTGTTGTTTGATTTTAGGCTTGGGTTCTATATGAATGTTCTGTTCTTTTAGTTGTTCCTTAATATATATATATATGCATGCTTCATTCATCTGAAATAATTTTATACTTCTACTTTCTCCAGGGAATGGAATTCCTAAGGTTGTAAATCTTGAAGTGCATGGAGAACTTGTAGAAGGAAGTATCATCAGGGGTTGTGCTAAGGTTGCTTGGTGTGGTGGAACTCCAGGAAAAGGTGTTGCTAGGTAAGACGACATTTCTTGTATTTGTACTTGTGTCTCTTTGTGTCATGTGTACAGCATCAAACTATGTACGACATATTTTGTTTTAAAAATGGTCTGATGCAACTATCCCATTTATTGTGTTTTGTTTTTTGCTTTAGTTGGTTGCGGAGAAAGTGGAACAGCAGTCCTGTGGTCATTGTTGGGGCAGAAGATGAAGAGTATCAATTAAACATTGATGATGTTGATTCAAGTTTAGTTTTCATGTACACACCAGTAACAGAAGAAGGTGCAAAAGGAGAACCTCAATACAAATATACAGATTTTGTAAAAGCAGGTAAATATTTATGTTTTTTCATTTTTATGTAAATATGCTTGATAGTATTAGAAATGGAGAAGTGTTTAACTTAATCCTACAAAACTGGATATTCAGCTATTTCCATAATACTAATTTAGATTCATCTACATATTTAGTTCTCAGAATATACGGTCAATGATAATTATAGTTTCTTATTGTTAGCGAGTAATTTGGCTTTAAGTTTGCCACTGATCTGTTATTTTGGTTCCTTGATTGGCTTGGTTATTATTACATTAGAGCAATCCCAAGGACACTTCTTGTGAGATTCTTTAATTTAAGAATCCGTTATTACTCAGGATCTGCATTGGAGGTGGCTTAAATGGCTTCTTTGGAAGAACTAGTTTTTTATATAAGCAACCAGTTCTTATGGTTAAAAAGGCATTTTGGGATAAGATAATATGAGGTCCATTTCCCGTTCTTAGATAATTGCACCAATGAAGTGGAATGTTGTTGAACTTCTTAAATATGATGTGGCATGGTCGGATCCTCTAGAAGTAAGATAAGAACGTTTGCTTTGAGTTCACTGTTGGAGATGCTCTTATGGGTAGGAAATGGAGACAGAAGTTCTCCCAAGTACTCTGTTTCAGTGTGGTAGTGTTGTGGTTCATCCCAGTTAATCTTATTCTGATACTATTTCCATTTCTACATCAATAGTTTGGTACTCTTACTGATTTACACTCAATTTGGCTATTGAAATGTTTGTTTTCCCTCCTTATTCCTTATATTTTTCTTCTCCAAAGATCATTGTATTGTGAAGCTCTCCTTGGTGTTGGATGTGCACCAATTTTGGCTACTGCAATCTTTGTTTTCCTTCCCATTTGTTTTGAACATGTTCAGCATGATGTTTTAAATCCTGGATTGCGGAGTGTAGCAACCGTACCCAAAAAACCCGAGATAGCACATATCAGGAAATGATGTGTGTGTAGTATATATATTATTACATGTTGCATATTTTTGTCTATTATAATTATACAATACAATATAATTTAATAATATATAATTATGCTTAAATGTTTTTCTATGTTTTTAATATTACAGAGTTTCTCATTCTTTTACAGATGTATATAATTAATAAAAAACAGTAAAAGAGCCCCTTCCCCATTTATTGGACTGTTTTGGGTGTAGAAAGGTTCCAATTTAGATTCATGCCCAACATCCTCTCTAATTTAGAAACAAACACTCTAGCCACTTTCTCACTTCATTCTGCTGCCACCTCCTCACAGAATCCAACCATCTCTTCTCTCAAAATCCTCCTGCAACCCTAGACAAGGCTAAGCAACTGCTGAATTGTCATATTTTCAGAAAAAAAAATAGAGCAGTGGTGGTGCTATTACGGCCACTACATAGGCCTTGTTGCAGCTAGGGGCCCCCCAGCTGGCCCTATAGTGTGCTTTTCTCAACCTTGCTTCTTAAGGGGTGACACTACTCATCTTCTTGGCATTTATTTCCTTCCCAATATTTTCATGTTACTATTGCTGTTCTTGCCCATCCAATTGGGACTGGTATTAGTGGCGGGTATTCAGTCTTCTTGAAGGCTTACAGCAGTGCACTTTACTGGTTTGTTGTGGATCACTGCACTAGTTGGCTATGATGGTATGTGAGTGGCCATCACTGTGTCTATTATTCAAGGAGTCAAAACCATGTTTAACTTCACTAAAACTAATTTTCATCGTCGTGGTCATTTTATATCTTTCATGACTCTTATTGGTATCCCTAGTACACATTCCACCGGTGCCAAATCTCAAAGCTTCTATTAGAATAGGGGGAGCCTTTGATATATACTAGAGAGTTGTTGTGAAACTAAGTTGTCTCACTATTACTGGTATTTTTGTTTGCCATGAGTATAATTTGCCAATTCTTACGATGCTTGTACTTTTGGATGTTGTGGTTCAAACCTCATATTAAGGGAGTACTTGGGAAAGAATCACTAAAATGTGAGGGAAGGGTTCATGCTAGGGATGGCAATTAAACCCGTACACGTGAGGACCGAGCCCGTCCCGCCCAGAGTTTGACTGGGGAAACCCCGAGATTGACCGGGGCGGGTCGGGTTCGGGTTTCCCCGCTTTAAAAAGTCGGGCGGGGCGGGGATGGGTAATGCAATCCCACCCCGCGCCCATCCCCACCGCCAGACTTTATATTTAAATTTAAATTTTAAAATATTAATATTTTAAAAGTATTTCATTTTCTTTTTCTATTACATATAAGGTTATTTTTTTATATTTCACCAATTTTTATTTTTCTTCTACCCACTTTTTAATTTTTTTTATCTTTCTCAATCTTTTATATCAATTAATTTATTATATTATTCTCTCCCTTATCTTTCGAGTTTTTCACATTTTCTTAGTCTCTCCCATCAATTTGTTTTTTTTTCAATCTTTTCAACCAATTTGATGAACACAAAGTTAATCTTTTTTCTTTATCTTTTTCTAAATATTTTACATCAATCTTAGTAGTAACTAATATTAGTTTATTTATAATTTATATTTATTATGCCATATTTTTTTATCTTATTATGCTTATTTATCATATATCAAATTTTATCTTAATAAAATAATTGCATTTTAAAGGATTAAAAGAAATTAATAATTTAAACTTTTATTACTTCAAACTAATTAAATAAGAATTAACTTATTAAATATTTTCTTATAAACTATATATTGACAACTTAAAAATGAATTAACTTATATGTATAATTAAATATTTGAATACAGTATTATAATAATAATGTTATAAATATTCAAATATTTGAATACAGTGTTATAATAATAATAATAATAATGTTATAAATATTATATATATATATATATATATATAAATAAAAAATAATTAAATATTTCTTTTACATATATATTTTAATATAAATATAATAAATTAAAATGTATATTTAATTAATAATAACTATAAATTATAAATATTTATTTATATATAAAAATACATAGTAAAATTAATTTATTATAAATATAATTATCTTTTTAAAAATAATATAAATTGGGGACGGGGCAGGGACTGGGAACCGAAACCCGACGGGGACGGGGATGGGGACTTAATTCCTAACCCCGTGGGGATCGGGCGGGGACGGGAGGCAAAACCCGCCCCCGCCCCGCTTGCCATGCCTAGTTCATGCTTATCAGTGTGTACTAGAAAGTGAAAATAATCCTAATACAACAATTAAAGTCGGTTTGTTAGCTGAAATTTATACCTTATATATTATAATTTTGTCATATTTTTAGTTGACGAGGGATTGTGGATAATCAATTTTGAATTTATATACCTAGAAGGTACATGACAAAAGTTATATATGTACTTTTGGTCTTCAAGTATGGAATATGTGATTTTGATCCTCCAAGCTTTTATGTTGAGCCAATTAAGTTGCTTTATTTCTAAAATTAAGAACTTTGTCTCTATTGATTTTTTTCTAAGTAAAAGAACTTGACAAATTTTATTTTCTACTCAAATATTCACATGTTGAATCTCAAAATGTTTCAAAATCTTTGTTTTGTCAAACTCTCCAAGCAAAACTTGAATTTTCGTTCAAAATAAAGACTTCAAATTTTTCTCTTTGAACCTTAATCACACATATAAAATCCTCTCAATTTTGTTAATTTTGTACTATGTTTGTTACACATTCCTTAAGTATATTTTGTAATATTTGCTCACCTTAGATTTCTGATGTATGTTTTGGGTTATGTAACACTTAAAAGTGGAGCAAGGAAGTCATAGAGTGCCTATTAGAAAGGGAACCAGCCCAATCAGCGTCACAATATTCAGATAGTTGAGTGTTGTTCCTATTTTCATATAACAAATCTTGTTAAGGAGCCTTTTTTAGATACCTCAAGATAAGGATAATGGCATTCCAATGGTCAATGCAAGGAGCTTGCATTATGCATGGTAGCAGGGTGGGGGCGGGTTTTGCCTTCCCGACCCCCACCTTGACTTTTTTAACCGTCTCCAATATTTGTCGGGGTTAGAAATTAAGTTCTTGGGGATTATTATATTTATATTAAAATATATCTATAAAAGAAACATTTAATCATTTTTTCTTTATATAGATATAAAATATTTATAACATTATTATTATTATTATTATTATTATTATTATTATAATAATACTATATTTAAATATTTGATTACGTATATAAGTTAATTCTTATTTAATTAGTTCAAAGTAATAAAAGTTTAAATTATCTATTTTTTAATCTTTTAAAATACAATTATTTTATTAAGATAAAATTTAATATATGATAAATAAGAATAATAAGATCTAAAAAATATGACATAATAAAGATAAATTATAAATAAAATAATATTAGTTACTACTAAGATTTATGTAAAATATTTAGAAAAAAATATAGAAGAAAAATTAACTGTGTTCATCAAATTTGTTCAAAAATTGAAAAAAATAAACAAATTGATTAGAGAGATTAAGGAAATGTGAAAAAGTGAAAGGTAAGAAAAAGAGAATAATGTAATAAACTAATTGATATAAAAGATTTAAAAAGACAAGAATTAAAAAGTGGGTAGAAGAAAAGTAAAAATGGTGAAATATAAAAGAAAATGATCTTATGAAAAAAAAAAAGAGGAAATACTTTTAAAATATTAATATCGTAGAATTTAAATTTAAATATAAAGTCGAGACGAAGACAATGACGAGACTATGGTGGAGATTGCAGTACCCATTCCCGTCCTACTCCCGACATTTTAAAGTGGAGAAAGCCCGAACCTGACCTGTCTCTGGTCAACTCAGTTTTTCCTCGTCAAATTCGGGACAGGGACAAATTGATCTTCGGGGGTAAGAGTTTAGTTGTCATCCCTAGCCTGCATGAACTGGCTAACAATACCAACAGAGGAAAAGACAAATCAGGTATAAAAATGGTAAGATAGATAAGTTTTCCAACCAATCTTCTAAATCTTTATTGGATTAGAGAACAATTGACCTTGTCCCGTCATTAGTTTTTGATATGGATCCATAGGACTTGCTAAGTCAGTCATACCGACCTCTTCTTAGAATATCTAGTACGTATTTCCTTTGAGATATTACAACACCTTCTCTTGATTGAGCTACTTCAAAACTCAAAAAGTATTTGAGACTCTCAAGACCTTTGGTTTGAAAATGCTTGCACAAGTGTTCCTTTAATTGAGATATTTTAATAGCATCACTTCTGATAATAACTATATCATCAACATATAAGTAAACACATTTATGGAGACGTATGACAGTAAAAAACAGAATGATCTGCTTCACTTCATTTCAACCCAAAAGTTTGCACAAACTAAACTCGTGGAGATTGTTTAAGACTATAGAGAGAGTGATGTAACTTACAAACCAAGCCTAACTCCCCTAAGTAATAAATCCAAGAGGTTGCTCCATATAGATCTCCTCTAGATCGCCATGAAGAAATGCATTTTTGATATCTAATTGATGAAGTGACCAATGATGAATAGTGGTCATTTTGGCCATGGTTATTGAATTGAGATTTGAATCATGAATAGTTTTTATAATTTTTATGAACGGTGAATTGAATCTTATCATGAATAATAAGATGCATGATAAATACAATATAATATTTTTAAATAAAAATGAGTAATAAAAAAAATTAAAAAATAATAAAATATCAACTTATTTTATATAAAAAATAAAAATAATAATGAAAAATAAAATAGTAAATTAAATGATAAAGTAAAAAAAATGTAATAGTACAATTTCAATTAAAATAACTTGATATATTAAAATAGAAAACGGAAATGTCAAATCCCCTTCTAACACTATTCATTCTCTCCTTCTCTTTCTTCGCACTTCCTTTTTCTTTTTCTTCTCACTAGTGCGTTGCATCTTCCTCACCAGTGCAACACTGTTTTTTTTTTTAACTGCCACATTGTTGCATTTGCATTTTTTTCCCTTCACCGCAACACCAGTGCATTCTTTTCCCTCACTGCAGCGTGTGTGTTTTTCTTTTCCCTCACTGCAGCGTGCTGTGTTTTTCTTTTCCTCACCGCAGAACTACTTTGTTTTTTTCTCCTCACCGCAGCACCACTACGTATTTCTTTTCCTCACGAATGGGAATTGAATAGCAAATCCTACGATTCAAATTTTATTCATCCAATTCAAGCTTCGATTCAAAGTATAAAACGATACATTCAATAAATTGTATCGAAAAGTTAGGTTTTTGAAATGGATCGCGATTCAAACTGTACAATTCATGCGATTCTAACTAACATGATTTTGGCCACTAGAGAAAAAGTTTCGCTATTTGATCCAACTTTAATAGCATAAACTCAACGACATCCCATTGTTTTCATTCCAAATGGAAGGGGTACCAAGTCTCATGTGTGATTCTGATCAAGAGCCTGCATTTTAACAATCATGGCTTGACACCATTCAGGGTGATCAAGTGATTTATTCACATTTTTTGAAATAGTAATGGAAAACACTATGATATAAAAGAACAATACGAAGAGACAACCTGTGATAGTTAAGAAAAATTATAAATGGGATGAGGGTTACGAGTAGAACAAGTACCTTTTCTAATGGAAATGGGTAGAGAATCATCATGTTGAGGAACTGTGATATGAGGAGATGAGGGAGAAGGACTTGAAGAAGAAGTCTCACTTTAGAGTGTCGCACAAGTAGTTAGGTTCTGACGATGGTAAGTAAGAAGTGGAGGTGGTGCCGATTCAGGGGAATGGATGGCAGGAGCGGGATCATCTGAGGCATGAGGGACAATTGACTCAATTACTGGAATAGGTAGAATCTCTTGGATAGAAGTGACATCTTGACTAGACGAAGGGAAAAAAGGAGTCTGTTCAAAGAAGGTGATATTGGCAGACATATAATATTTTTTTATTTCCGGAGAGTAGTATCAATATCCTTTTTGAAGGCAAGAGTAGCCTAGGAAGATACATTTGATAGCTTGGGCAGAAAGTTTATTTATTCTTGGGGATATATTATGAACAAAACATACACTACCAAACAAACGAGGAGAGATATGAAAGAGAGGTTTTTTGGAAAAGATAATGGAATAAGAAATCATATTATGGAGAGAAGAGGATGATATTCTATAAGAAAACAAGCTGTTAGAATAGCATCACCCAAATGATGGGTTGAAAGATTGACACCAAGTAAATAGGGTATGGGTAGTCTTAATCAAGTGTCTATTTTTTCTTTCAGCAGTACCATTTTGTTGAGAAGTGTGAGGACATGTGGGTTGGTGTAGTATGCCATGCGAATTTAGAACAACAGAGAAATGAGAGGAGAAATACTCTTTGACATTGTCACTTCTTAAAATTTTAATTATTTGACCAAATTGATTTTTGATTTTATTCAAGGACATAAAGATAGGTAACAATTTTGAACGATCTGTCATGAGATAAATCTACGTATATTTGGAATATTCATCAATGAAAGTAACAAAATATCTGAAACCAAAAGATGAGACACGACTGAGCCCTCAAATATCATAATGAATAATAGAAAAGACAGAATTACATCTTGACTCAGATTTCTTTGGAAATGATGATCTAACATGTTTACCTAATTGACATGACTCACATTCCAACATTTGGAAACTATAAAGTTTAGGAACCATTTTTTTTATTTTTGATAGGTTGGGATGACCTAAACAATTATGTAACAATTTAGGATTTTTAGATTCGAAACAAGACACAAGTGGCCTAGGTCCAAAATAGGTATAAACCTCTAGATTCATGTCCTTCTCCAATCAGTTGCTTTGTACACGTTTTTGTATAACAAAAGAATTGAATCAAAGGTTATTGAACAATTTAAAGACTTGGTTACTTGGGTTAATGAAATAAGATTAAAAGGACAAGAAGGGACAAATAAAACATATTTTATATTTTAAAAGGTGAAAGAGAAACTTGACCCATTCCTTTAGGAGGTGCTTTAGAATCATTGGCTAAGGTAATGGAATGAGGATTCTTTGGAAAAAAAAGAGATGAGAACAATGATGCATTACCAGAAATATGGTCAGAAGCACTTGAATCGATTATCCATGGATTTTGATTTTTTATAGATTGTGAAGTGCAAACTATTGATGGATTGAAACTTGATGATTGTGCTAGGTTATTGGATTTTAACCTAAGATATTTCTGATAAACTTCATCAGAGAACTTGGGCTCAATAACTTCAGCCTTAGTGATATTGACTATCTTATTAGAAAAGCCAGGTAATGTGAAACAATTCTCTAGAACGTGACTCATCCTCTTACAGTGCACACATTGAGGGCACCCTCGACCACTCCTTCCTCCTTTAACATTACGTCCTCCTCTGTCATGTGTAGAAATCATGACAAAAGATTCCATAGCCTCTTGGAGGTTTTTGCTTTGACTTGTAGGAATCCGAAGAATTCTTGTAGTCAAACTTTCCATGGATGAGACTTCATGACCTGTTAATAGTTGATCTCTAACATGTTCAAAATTTGGATGTATGGCACGAAGAGTCATAACCATATAGAATTTATCAATTTTTTTCTTTATTTCTTTTAAAGACTCATCCTCCAAGAACATCTTTAGTTCTTTAAATGCAGATTGAGTTTTACTCATGAAAGTCATCATATCATGGTCTGATTGTTTAAGAGAGACAAGTCTATTGACAAAATCATAGAGGTGTTGAATATTATTTATGAAATTATTTTGAGCCTTTTTTCAAAAGGAATGACATGTTTTAAATGCTTTAAGAGTTCCCAACAGCTTTGGTTCCACAGATTGCAAACTTCTGTTCTTTCTACCATTTAGATTTGGATGTTTTGTTATGTTCAAAATTTGCATTAAGCAATTATGACTTTATTAGTTATTATTTGTTATTTTTTGACTTATGATCCTATTTTGAGTTGTGTTATGTTTTGGATCTTCATATTTTTCATTTGTTACCAGTTATTTTTTTGTCTATATTATTTTTAATTTATTTGCATGTCTGTAAATATAGTTTTTCGTGTATGCATAACTCTTATGAGTGAAGTTATGATCATTGAGTTGTGATCTTTTATCCCTCTTCGAATCCTTTTACAATCCTTAAATTTTATAACATTTCATGCTACTGTCTAATTGTTCCCCGGATGTCATAATTTTCTTAAATGGCAGCTCCTCCCTGTGTCAGTAATGTGAAAATAGTTGGAGATGCTGTTGAGGGAAGTACCATCAAAGGAGTTGGTGATTACTTTGGTGGAAGGGAGGGTCCGAGTAAGTTTGAATGGCTGCGGGAGAACAGGGATTCTGGGTCAGTATTCTTTTCATTGCAATTCACTGAAGGGCAAGAAAGTATCAAGATAAGAAATAAATTCTCTTATTCTACACTTCTGACATGTGCTTTGCAAATTAGAAAGTATATTGTTGCATTTATTACAATGCTCTGGGGATGCTTCATACTTTTATTTTGTTTAAAATTTTATTTTATATAGTCCCTTGTTGCACTCTACTAAGCTCTTCTCTCTTGTTTCAATGTGTATAATCGTGCAGAGGATTTTTGTTAGTGTCAGCAGGCACATCTGAGTATACCTTGACCAAAGAGGATGTTGGTTGTTGTTTGGCTTTTGTGTACATACCCATCAATTTTGAAGGTTAGCATCCAGACATGATGGATTTATCTTTTCCAAATACTTTTGATGTGTTTTTGTAATATATTCATCGGTTCATCCATCAGGTCAGGAAGGAAAGTCTATGTCTGTAATGTCTCCTGTTGTGAAACAAGGTACTTTGATGACTATTAGCAAGGTCTCCTGTATTTTTGTTTTCTCTGTCTGTGCTATTACATAATGTTTGACAAGTAGCTGATGTCATTCTGTTGTACATGGCACTGGCAGGTGAATTTTTGGTTTTGTAATAACTGAATGGTATTGATTTCTTTGTCATGCATCAATTTCTCATTCTTAGTGGTATAAAGCTATTCTTAGGCCTCCACCTAACAACCTAAGCTTTCAGGAGAATTGGCTTTTGATATTGTATGAGAGCTGCTGTTTACAGTAGTCAGGAGGTCTGTTTTTGTTGATTCAATCTTAATTTTCAATGCAAACACAAACATATCAAGCACAAACAACTCTCACATGACGAGGTGTATTGGATTTATAAAACCATCCTAGTTAACACTCATCGTGCCCCTCCACCTAATAATTTTAAGCCATTGGGACGGCTAGTTGATACTGATCTTCAATTAATTGTGATTGTTGGCTCTGCTATATAATGCTGATTTTACTTTGTGATAGATTTGAGTTATTCACCTTGCTTGGATTTCAGCATATTGATATGCATAATCCTTCTATATAAGGGATTTGTTTATATTTTTCTTTTCTCTGCGCACTTTCTGCTTGTATATTTTCCTTAGTTTCATGTAGTTCTTTATGGATACACTCTGTGTGCATCCTAGAAAAGAAGGCTTTGACCTTTCACATAATGTGATGCGGCTGTTTTCATTTTTCTAAGAAACTAAATGTATTTTCTTTTGATAGCATGATTAGATGTTTTATGGTGATGATTAAAAAAATTCTGAAGCTTCTTATGTATACCAAAAGTTTGCATGAATATGATGCTCTGTTTCATTTCAGCACCACCAAAGGTAACAAATGTCAAAATAATTGGTGATCTACGAGAGAATAGCAAGGTGACTGCAACTGGTATTGTAACTGGAGGAACTGAAGGATCTAGCAGAGTTCAGTGGTATAAAACATATTTGTCAACTTTGGATGAAAACAATCTTGAAGCATTGAGTACTTCCAAAATTGCTAAAGTAGGTTTTTGTTCTGTTCTTTTTTTTTTGGACTGGGGGATCCTAAATTTACACAATGATTATGTACAGTGCACCATTTCCCCCCTATACATATAGTTTCAATTTTTTGTTGGTTTTGAGCTCTTCAGGCGTTCCGCATACCTCTTGGAGCAGTTGGCTATTACATTGTGGCAAAATTTACACCCATGACTCCTGATGGTGATTGTGGAGAACCAGTGTTTGTAATATCTGATAAAGCAGTTGAGAGTAGGTGTACTTGTTTCTTCTCACTCCCATTTGTTCTTGATTTGTCAAGAATATAAATCCTTTTGATAACTGGAAAATAAGCCCAATAGTCTATGTAAACTGAATATTCCCTCAAACTTCACATTTATTTCTTCTCAAATCAGCATCTATCTTAACAACACTATGCATTTCTTACAGCTCTTCCCCCAAGCTTGAATTTCTTATCTATCATTGGAGATTACAATGAAGATGGAATTTTGACAGCTTCATACGGATATGTTGGAGGTCATGAGGGAAAGAGTATATACAGTTGGTATATTCATGAGGTATGTATCTACATTTATGTTCTACAGTATTTGTTTGACTTATTTAATCGATATTATGGGATTCCAATTCTTATCTTAGCAACAATGAAAAGCTCATCTGTAGAACTTTTCAAAATATGTGCCAAAACTGAAACAGTAGTTGGCTAAGGACTGCCCCTGAGTTGATTTTTGACCTAAATATGATTATCAAGTAAGCTTTCAATTTCTATTCACTATACCAGCCCTATAACTTTTGCTATGTATACTACAATATTTGACTTCCTAGGGATTTCTTTTTCTGAGTTAATTTCTACTAATGCTTATTAATAATGTTTTTCCTGCATTTTTTTGAGTTAACAATAATATTTTCTGAACTCCTGTACGAAAAATATATAATTTGTCATCTTAAAATGATAAAAAATTATAATATTTAATACATTGAATAATCAAGTAAATACGTTGTGACATCGATTCTTCTTTTCTAGTGCAATACGTGCTGATTGCAACTTGTATTGACAATTTCTAGAGTACGCAACCCAATAAATTCACCTTGTACATATTGATGGAAAACTAAGTGTTTAATTTATTTATTTTTGGGCAAATAGTGTCATGGAGTTATTAAAATGTTCAATGGTGGTTGACATTGCTTCACCAGTGGTTAGTGTCATGAGATTATTGATCATCAAACGTGGTTAACTACATGTGTAAATATGGTTAATTTTTTACTCAAAAGTATTTAATAGGAAATGAACATGATTATATACAGTTATTTATTTGTAGTTAATGATGTGAGGAGGTTATTGAAATGTTTAGTGATGGTCAACTTTGCCTCACATGTGGTTAATAGTGTCTTAAGGTTCTTTAAATGGCTAATAGTGTTTAAATGTTCATTAGAAGTGGTTAATATTATTCACATTGTTAGTTGATGTCATGTTCCTTTATTCTTAACTACTTGTGAGGTAAATTTAATTATATTTACATATGTTATTAGTCACATATAAAGGTGAACATTTAATACTTTCCTTATGGTTGAGTGAAAGCTCCTTAGTGTGCTGTCTGCATTAACTTTTTGTCTCATGTTTTTTATTGTTTTGGCTCTAGTTTTTGTTGCATTTAGTAGATGAGAATAAAATGAATTGACAATTTAAGAATGTAATCTAAGGGTTCAAAAATTCAGTGCCGATTTGACCTACAGAATAAAAAAAAAAAAAAATTCCTTGTAATTATAAAATGTCTTCTGTATGTGCAGGTTGAAGGTGATTCTGGGTCTCTGATATCAGGGGTTTCAGGACTGCAGTATCGTATTACCAAAGAAGCCATTGGAAAATTCATCTCATTCCAGTGTACTCCAGTACGTGATGATGGTGTTGTAGGTGACATAAGAATTTGCATGGGCCAGGAGCGTGTTCGTCCTGGTAACATTTATTGGACTAAGCAGCAAAATATGAATTTGGTCTATTTCTTTTAGTAATATACATAGAAATTCACATTACATTTGTACTAGAGATTTTTTTATATACGTCATACCTATTGAGATAGAAGATACAAAAACTGGAGGATTAGGGAATAGGGATTGTGTCTAACATAGGCAGTATTTCTCATATACTTTAATAGTCACGTGGTTTTCTATTCAAACATCTAATTCTAAATTATGATATGCAAATTATGAAAAAAATTAGATATTTTCATCTCTCCAATCTCACCAAATGACCTCATCCACACTGTATTATTGATAATATTAATAGATAAGGCTTGCTTCACTTTTTGGGTTGCTTGATATATCAATTCCTTTTTCTCTGTTATGATCATTCAATTTACTATATATTTTGCTCTAATATAGTCATGGTTTTTCTTGGTGATCAGGAAGCCCAAGATTACTTTCCTTACACATAATTGGAAATGCTGTTGAAGGAACGATTCTAAGAATTGAAAAAAAGTATTGGGGTGGTAAAGAGGGAGATTCAGTTTACCGCTGGCTTAGGGTACTTGTAACTTCAACTTTGTGTTGTGAAAGTCTTTACTCCGAATTTAAGTTTTATTTATGCTCAAGACCTATATTTTACTCTGTGAATGTTTGAACTAGTAAGGAGGTTATACCTTGTGATAGCTATGGCTTAAGAATGGCGAGCTCACAAATGACCATTTCAAAAAAAATATATATTTTTTTCTATTGGCCACATATTATTTTCAATGTGCTCTCTTTACTAAAGAAATATCAACTTTACCTCAACAAAAGTATTTTTAATTGGCCATGGCTAAAGTAGTTTTACCTCGAACTTGGCCAGAGTACTTCAACTCAGCCTGTCAGGATTTCTTCAACACTTAACCATTTAGGATATTTTCAACTTAGTCTTTATTGGTGCATCTTTTGTCTAGCTTCAACTTAGTTTTGACTAGGACATATTTAGCTTGACCTTAGCTGGGCATCTTTGGCTTGGCCTTGACCACAACATCTTTTGGTTGGCTTTAGCCCAGGCATCTTAGACTTGATCCTCAGTTGCAACATCTTTTGCTCATGTTTGATTAGCGCATTTATTGGCTGCTGCACTCAACTAGAGCATCTTTTGTTTGGGCCATCCCCAAAGCATCTTTGGTTCGGTCTTGACAGGAATATCCCTTTGTTAGTGTTAAGGTTCCAACATAAAATCAATTGGCAATATGTGGAGTAGCCTAACATGTATTTAAACCATACCAAATGACATAAGGTAGGCGATGTGGGACTTTCAACACGCCCCCTCCAACGAAGCCTGCCGGACCAGACAAAGGGTACTTTTGACCCAACTAAAGGACAACTTTTTGGCCCATGACAATAACTGGAAAGATGTTAGGCTTTGGTTCTGATACTTGTTAAGGTTCCAACATAAAACCAATTGACAATATGTGGAGTAACCTAACATGTATTTAAACCATACCAAATGACATGAGGTAGACGATGTGGGACTTCCAACACGTCCCCTCCAACGAAGCCTGCCGGACCAGGCAAAGGGTACTTTTTGACCCAACTAAAGGGCAACTTTTGGCCCATGACAATAACTGGAAAGATGTTAGGCTTTTGCTCTGATACCATGTTAAGGTTCCAACATAAAACCAATTGGCAATATGTGGAGTAGCCTAATATGTATTTAAACTATACCAAATGACATAAGGTAGGCAATGTGAGACTTTCAACAGTTAGCTTAAGAAAGAGTATCTTTTAACCAGATCTTAACCGAGAATTTGTTGAATAAGTCTAAGCCAAGGCATCCTGGCTGGTCTCTACCAAGGAATCCTTGGCTTAGCCTATGCTAGAGAGTATTTGGCTCAACCTTGCCTAATTTTATTGTGATTACTGTGTTGATACTACTATACATTTGGGTGATGAATTATTATTGCTTTATGTAGAACACTTCTGATGGCACAAAAAAGGAAATTGCGGGTGCCACTGCTGCATCATATATGCCCTCAGTTGATGATATTGGCTCCTTTATTTCTGTTTCATGCGAGCCCGTCCGAACTGATTGGGCTCGTGGACCTATGTTTCTGTCTGAACAAATTGGGCCTATAATTCCTGGTACTTGTTATTTCTTATTTTATTATTGTTATTTCAGACATGTATTCTTTTAGGATCAGACAAATTTTAATGATACAGCTATTTTTACTTTGCAAATTTAGGTCCCCCAACTTGTCATTCTCTGGAATTTCTTGGATCAATGGTAGAAGGGCAGCACTTGAGCTTTAATGCTGTGTATACCGGAGGGTCAGGCTTCTGTTATCCATTGCTTATACTTGACGTATCTGTACATTTAGTACTTTTAATATATCCATTTAGTTACTTTCCCTGTCTAAGAATTTTGCTGGTTGCTTTTCAGGGAGCAAGGAGATTGTACCCATGAGTGGTTTAGGGTAAAAGACAATGGTGTGCGAGAGAAAATAAGTAGCAATGGTAACTTTTATATTGTTGTTTTATTAGCTAAGTGCTATTTATTTGGGATGGAAAAGTAACTGCTTAATATTTGTGATTACCAGAATTTTTGGATTTGACACTTGAGGATGTTGGTGCATGCATTGAAATAATCTATACTCCTGTGCGCAAAGATGGAACCAAAGGCAGCCCAAAGAGCATCGTGTCTGATCTGATTTCTCCTGGTAGGATTGTTTTACTCTTGAGATTGGGCATATTATGATTTTAGTGGTAGCTAGGCTGTTAACATTAAATAACATAGCCATAGTTTTGTAGGTGGAATTTAGATACAACCAGTGTTATCAGTGCCCTTTAGTTAAATGTTGACCTGCTTTATGTAGTTATTGGTTAATTAATTTTGTAGATATTTCATTAAATTGGCCTTTTATTAATTATATTAAGCATTTGTGAATATATTATGCTTTGTTTTTTATTCCCTAGGCCCCAATTGGCTGTTTGATTGTTGGATACAATTTTCTGGCAAAAAGTACCTTTGACAATGTAATTGTTCTTCATTATGTTTGGAATGAGGTTTTTGAGTGTTATTGTACTTATGGGGTATTTAAGCGTTATTGTACTCATGGGGTATTTAAGTGTTATTGTACTCATGGAGGCTGTTAGAATTTTTATTAGTTAATGGTTAGTGGTTAATGGTTAGTAGTTAGTAGTTGGTGGTTGTTAGTAGTTGGTGGTTGTTGTTTTAAATGTTGTAATATATGAGATCATAGAATGGAGTAATGTATCCCACAAAATTAGAAATCTTCTTTTCATTCTCTTTACTCTCTTAACTTGGTATCGAGCAGGTTGGTCCTGCTTCTGCTCGTCCGGCCACCATCCGCCATTGTCCGACCATTTCCGGCCATTGGCCGACCATTTCCGGCCACCGTCCGGTCATTTTCCGATCACCGTCCGACCACCGTCCGACCACTTTCCGGTCACTTTTCGGCAACCGTCAGTCTCCCGTCCAGTCACCTTTTTTTTGCTGCCGTCCGACGACTTTCCGACCACCTTCCAGTAACCTTCTGGCTATCTTGGGTGTTCTCTTTCTTACAGGTTCCATTGTCTCCATCTTACATCTACATAGGAGCCAAATGATCAGTCCCATGTCCCAAGATGAGTCTTCTTCAGCAGATCCTTCTCAATCATCCCCTGATACCACGATTCCTGATAATGATGACTCAAGTTGGCCCATTGTCATTCGCAAGGTACTCACTCTACTCGTAATCCACATCCCATTTACAATTTTGAATGTGAATCATGTCAACTAGGGAAACATACTAGGTTCTCTTTTCCTAAACGTTCTGAATCTAGATATGATTCTGTCTTTTCTCTTGTTCATTATGATATTTGGGGTCCTAGTCGTGTCTCATCCTTTGGCTATAGATATTTTGTTACCTTTATTGATGAGTTTTCGAGGTGTACTTGGATTTATCTAATGAAAGACAGTTCTGAATTATTGCCTATCTTTAAGTCTTTCTTTAACGAAATCAAAAATCAATTTGGAAAAGTAATCAAAGTTTTACGAAGTGATAATGCCAAAGAATAATTTTCTATTGATTTCTCCACTCTCTTAAGCTCCCAAGACATTTTACACCAGTCTACTTGTCCTCACACACCACAACAAAATGGTATAAGCGAACGAAAAAATAGACATTTAGTTGAAACTGCTCGTACCTTATTACTTGGTGGAAATATGTTCGTTCATCATTGGGGAGATGCTATTCTTACTACATGTTTTATCATTAGCAGAATGTCATCTTCTTCTCTTAACAATAAAGTTCCACACTTTATTCTATTGCCAAAGGACCCACTCTTTCATGTTTCTCCTCGTGTATTTGGTTGCGTATGTTTTGTTCATGATATGTCTCCAGGTTTAGATAAACTATCGGCTAGAGCCATCAAATGTGTCTTCTTGGGATATTCTCGTCTTCAAAAAGGATATCGATGTTATTCTCCCGAAACCAAGAGGTACTACATGTCCGCTAATGTCACTTTTTTTGAGTCAACTCCCTTCTTCCCTTCTTCTATGCAGGATATTAGTTCGGTCCAAAATGTCCTACCTATACCCTTAGTGGAGCCATTTGTACCTCCTCCTCCCGACACCCAAAATTCCACACAAAATACACCGGAATCCTCATCATTGCCTCTTATTACCTATCAACACAGGAGCCAAATGATCGAGTCCCATGTCCCAAGATGAGTCTTCCTCGGCAGATCCTTCTCAATCATCCCCGATACCACGATTCTCGATAATGATGACTCAAGTTGGCCCATTGCCATTCGCAAAGGTACTCGCTCTACTCGTAATCCACATCCCATTTACAATTTTCTTAGCTACCATAGATTGTCTCCTTCCTATTTTTCTTTTGTTTCTTTTGTATCCACTATTACTATTCCAAAATATGTGAAAGAGGCACTTGATCATCCTGGATGGCGACAAGCCATGATTGATGAAATGCGGGCTCTTGAGCACAATGGTACATGAAACTTAATTCCTCTTCCACATGGGAAGAAGACTGTTGGTTGTCGTTGGGTCTATGCCATTAAAGTTGGACCAAAAGGTGAAGTTGATCGACTCAAAGCTAGATTAGTAGCAAAAGGCTATACTCAGATCTATGGCCTTGACTACAGTGATACTTTTTCTCCTGTGGCCAAAATGACTATTGTTCGACTTTTCTTTGCTATGACAGCTATCCGTCATTGGCCTCTTCATCAGTTAGATATTAAGAATGTGTTCTTGCATGATGATCTTGAGGAGGAAATTTATATGGAGCAACCTCCTAATTTTGTTGCTCAGGGGGAGTCTAGTTTGGTTTGTAAGTTACATCGTTCTCTCTATGGTCTCAAACAATCTCCACGTGCTTGGTTTGGAAAGTATAGTCACATTGTTCAAAGTTTTGGATTAAAACAAAGTAAAGCAGATCATTCTGTTTTTTATTATATTGCTTCAGGAAAATGTGTTTATTTAATTGTATATGTAGATGATATAGTCATTACAGGGGATGATGTTGATAAAATTTCTTTGCTAAAGAAACATTTATGCAATCACTTCCAAACTAAAGATCTTGGTTGTCTCAAATACTTTCTAGGGATTGAAGTGGCTCAATCAAAAGAAGGCATCGTAGTCTCCCAAAGAAAGTATGCTTTAGATATCTTGAAAGAAACATGCATGATTGATTGTAGACCATGAACATGACCCTATGGATCCAAATCGAGAAATTAATGGCGGATCAAGGTGAACCGCTCTTCGATCTTGAGAGATATAGAAGACTTGTTGGGAAACTCATTTATCTCACCATTACCAGACCTGACCTATCTTTTGCCGTTGGAGTTGTGAGTCAATTTATGCAAAATCCGCATACTAATCATTGGAATGCTGTCATTCACATCCTAAAATATCTCAAAAAAGTTCCAGGACAAGGTCTGTTATATGAAGATAAAAGGGGTACCCAAATATCTAGGTATTGTGATGCTGATTGGGTTGGATCCCCTATGGACAAACGCTCCACTACAGGATATTGTGTTCTCATTGGAGGCAATATTATTTCTTGGAAAAGTAAGAAACAAAATGTAATGGCCCGGTCTAGTGCTGAAGCTGAATATAGAGCAATGACATCTCTCACTTGTGAACTAGTGTGGGTGAAACAATTCCTTCAAGAACTGAAATTTTGTGAGATACAACAGGTGAAGATGTATTGTGACAATCAAGTAGCTCTCCACATTGCCTCTAATCCGGTGTTCCATGAAAGAACCAAACATATAGAACTTGATTGTCATTTTATTCGTGAAAAATTGTTGTCTAAAGAAATATGCACTGAATTTGTCGGGTCCAATGATCAACTTGCAGATGTGTTGACAAAGTCTTTAAGAGGACCTCGAATTGAATTTATTTGTTTCAAGCTTGGTACATATAATTTGTATGCTCTAGCTTGAGGGGGAGTGTTAGAATTATTATTAGTTAGTGGTTAGTGGTTAGTGGTTAGTGGTTAGTAGTTGGTGGTTGGTGGTTGTTAGTAGTTGGTGGTTGTTGTTTTAAATGTTGTAATCCTATATATATATATATGAGATCATAGAGTGGAGTCATGTATCCCACAAAATTAGAAATCTTATTTTCACTCTCTTTACTCTCTTAATTGAGTCTAATATCATTAATATTGTTTTATTGCATCGGTAGTACTAAATGTGCTAATTACTGTAGCATACTGCTGGAGAGCCTTGTTTTGTTCTTGCTTGCTTACAACGTAGAGAATTCTTATTTGAGTTCTAATTTATTATTAGAAAGTCGAATTAGGTCTAACTTAACTCTTCAAATTCTGTTTGTATGGTGAGGATTGCCCAAATATATTGTATTTTGGCTCTATCTCTAGTTGATTTGGCCTTGTTTCTCCTTCACATGTAACCAAAGTTATCAGACTCAAGAGTCTACGTACATTGACACTGTTGAATTTGGTATGTGTATAACATGGTGGGTGACCCTTTTAAGGGATTTAGGATAGACTTTGATACTATATTGTTGATTGGCCTAACTCAATCTCTCCCAAAACTAGATTGTATGGGAAAGATTGCCTCCACATGTATGTTGTATTTTTGTACTATTTCTAGTTGATGTGGTACTTGAGTTTTTATAGCATGTGGAAAAAGTTGTACTTTAGTATCTTGAGATACAAAATATTTGAAATTTGTCTTGTATTTCAGCCTTATGCTTTCCCCATACGACCATAACCATTTTTTAAAGCGAACATAGAACAATTGTTTCTGTGCCCTGGCCCTTTACATTCTAGTCCACACCCTATAGATATAGTGTTTTTTTTCTTTGTAATAAATTATGAATTGTCATAAATTCATAATGTCTCTTGTTTCTGTCTTTGAATAGTTTCTGTGAGGTATAATGTTATATTTTAATTTCTATAATATTTTGTGAAATAGTTATATGCATTTTTAATGTAATTTCTGTATCATCTCCTGTAAACAGCGGATCCTAAGGGAATGAAACTTGTAATTCCCGATTGCTGTGAAGACAGAGAACTTATGCCCAAGAGAAAATATTTTGGTGGACATGAAGGGGTTGGAGAGTATATTTGGTATCAGACAAAGTATAAACTTGAAGGATCTGAGCTCCTAGATATATCTAATGCTTCTGATGCTTTAATATGTGGGACAGAGCTGTAAGTACTCTGAGATATTGTTCGTGCATTTTATGAGAAAAAAAAAATATCTGAAGTTGAGGATTTTACGATTATTTTTCTTGTAATGGCAGAATGTATAAACCATTGCTTAAAGATGTTGGAGCTTACTTGGCTTTGTATTGGGTACCTACTCGGGCAGATGGCAAATGTGGAGAGCCATTGATTGCAATTAGCAGTACACCAGTTTCCCCTGGTATCCGTGTGGCTCTTTGCTGAAATTCATTTCATTGTCTGATGATAGCTTTCCATCACATGGTTTTAATATTATTTTGTTTTGGGTGGTGTGTAGAGCTTGGCTCCCATACATCTAATGTAGGGTGTGCCCACTGTAATTTGTGTGCTTTGTGCATGTGATAAACTTTATAATGTTTTAGATTTTCATTTCTTGTACCTTTTTCTTTTGCCTGACTAACATAATGTAGCACATTTTATTGCCTCACTCCTTTAATAATTTGCAGCTCCTCCAGTAGTGTCTAATGTACGCGTGAAAGAGTTGTCTTCGGGAATTTATTCTGGAGAAGGTGAATATTTTGGTGGATATGAAGGAGAAAGTCTCTTTAGCTGGTATAGAGAAAATAATGAGGGAACCGTTGAACTAGTTAATGGGGCAAATTCTAAAAACTATGAAGTTACTGATTCGGATTACAATTGTCGATTGTTGTTTGGGTAATTATTCTATATGATCTTTTAGTGTTTAATGTATAACCATGAAGATAGTGTATTGTATGCCATGCTAAACATTATTTTTCCTTTTTAAGTCCTTGTTGCTTTGTATCTGTAGAAATTATTAGATGATTGACTTCTGAAAGAAGCTTTTTATGGTGTTCCCTAATTTGCTACTCTTAATTTAATTAGGGTTAAGAATCTTATTTTATTAGTGGGCTGGGCCTGTGCTAGTATTATTGCAGTGGTGCTTTACCTAATTATCAGTGTAAAGATGATGACTAGATTGCAATGCATGACATCATTATATGGCATATCAACGGAATATCTTAGAATTGAGTCAATCCGTTGTATCTATTCCTTCCTCCTCCCCCTCCCCCAACCCTGTAATTTCAACCTTTATATCTTGTTGACATTAAGATTTTCATCCTTTTTCTCAGATATACACCCGTTCGGTCAGATTCAGCTGTGGGAGAACTCATTTTATCTGCTCCAACTAATATTGTTTTCCCAGGTAACCATTGTCTATGTTAGTGCAAGCCTTACTCTTTTACACTCCAAGCACCTTTGTCTTTCAAGATTTTGAAATTGTTCGTGGAAAATAAGTATGGTTCTTATTGTCCTCTAGAGCTTCCATATGTGGAAATGCTTGCTCTGACTGGAAAGGCGATTGAAGGTGATGTTCTTACAGCTGTTGAAGTGATTCCAAATAGTGAGACTCAACAACATGTATGGAGCAAGTACAAGAAAGATATAAGATACCAATGGTATGGTGATATAATTTACATTGGTGCAGCATGCTGTTACTTTTCTCAATTGAAAAATTTAATTTTTATTTCCCGGGGAGATTCATTTACTACAGAATAGCTAATCTCAAATAGCAGTGTAGAGCAGCCGACCATAAAAATAAGTGCTATACTAGATCAGATTGGAGTGGGTGCTACACCAAAATAGTAGCTTAGCTGGAATGGAACGGAAGTACTTTAAAAAAAAATGAAAAACCTACAAAATTAATATTCAGAAGAATTAGTTACGAAATTCTGTTCCATAAACAAATGAACAATACTTCTCCTTTTGAGAAATCAAAACTAGAAGAAAAGCATTTGTATTGGTTAACATGTAATAACCAACTTTAAGTATTAATAACTAGTTTAAAAGCATGAGAGTCAAATAATTAGGAAAAACAAACTATTACTATTCACAGTAATGTCTTTTCATTTTTTAATTTGTAATCCACTTTGAAAATAGTGTTTTTTAGTGAAATAAAAAGTGTATACAGATTATGTAAATAATGTACTTCTGGATATAATGAGACACTGTGAGTTGTTTGTATATTTATGTAAATTAGGGATTATTTATTACAATGATTGGTATCCTCTACTCTTTATGAGGGACAATCTTGTTTAATCCAGGAATGTCCATTACATGGTGGGGTTAGCTCTTTAAATAGGTTTTGTTCATTTACAAGATTCAAATCCAAGATCTTGCTCCAGGGGAATCAATGCATGCATCACAAGATAAATTAATAGAATACTAAATTTAACATTTTTTTCCTGCATTTTTGTCTAATGCATGTGCTTAAATCTAGTTCCCTATAATTTTGAAGAGGGTGGGGGACATTAAAGACCATACTATTATTGAAAATTGGAAACAAGCTAGGCTTTGGAGGGGTCGTAGCTGACCCGTGTAATTGTTATGTTGTTTGGATCTGACCTATTTGCCAATTACATGTAAATTTGTAAGCCTGAGTCAGACTTATTTAATGGCTTGGAATTGCCTGAAAGCCTGTTTAGTAGCTTGTCTTATAGAAAATCTTATGAAGAAGCTAATAAGTTTAACTACTCAGCTTTTGAATTCTTAAAAATTCCCAAACACAAACATACAAATAATAAGTCACTATTAATATCTCATTTTTTTCAATAATTTATACTTTGATATATAATTACAAATTATTTTTTAAAATTATTTTAAATTAAATTATAAAATAATATCATATTACAAGGAAATATATTAAATTATTAGTTTGGTTTTTTATAATTACTTTCATATTTATGACATTTTATTAAAATAGTAATTAAAAGTGTTTATATATATATATATATATATATATGTATATATATATATATATATATTGAAATTTAAAACATATAAATGAATAATCATTTATTTAAGTCAGGATAATTTTGTAAAATAACATTTCTCTTGCTTTTTCCACTCTTTTTCACTCTTATATGGGTGGAAAGTGAACATATACATCACACTGGAAAGTGACAATTTTTTTTGTTACTTTCCTAACTACCAAACAAGGGAAATACTTTCTTTTTGCTAATTTCCCTACACTAATCACTTTCCACTCTATATTTTCCCTTCAAATGAACGGAGCCTTCATTTTAATTCTTGTAAGCTTATTATTTATTTTCTTGTGTATATACTAATGAATTTTTTATTACTTATAAGTATGGATGGAAATATTGATCAATGATAGTTGTCACTCATAAATCCAAACTATGAACATTTTTAAAATTTTAAATTTACATTGTTTTTGTTATAAAATGTATTAGTAATTATAAATTTTTCCTTTTATATAGATATAGATATTATATATATATATATATATATATATATATATATATTATAAAAAGATATTAATTTATTATAAGAGTAAGAGTTAAAAATTTACTATTCATCTTCATTATTCATTTTTTATAATCTAACAATTAGGATAAGTTATTATTTTAAATTATTAGATTAAAAAAATTGAATGGTGAATAGGAAAAGTAAGTTTTTAATTCTAAATCTTGGAGTAAGTGAATCCCTTCTCATTTATTATTATTATATAAGCAAGTTAGCTTGCTGTTGCATTAAGCTTTTCAGTTAAAAAAACTTTCAAAAGACGTAAACTAGGCTTTTTTAATAACCAGGCCAATAGCCCCTGACAGGCAACCTGGCCTATTTACACCTTAACAATTGACCATGTCAGTAGGTTATTCCATGCTACCACGTCAATGTCCAATTCTCCTAGATGCTTTTGGTGATGACATAATAAAGAAACAATCATTGGGGTAGCTCTTTGTATTTTCAGGAAAATGTTATTGCTAAATCAACAATGCTTGTAGTAAATGCTGATTACAAGTATCACTTAATCACATTAACATCATTTCAGGTATTGTTCGTCAGAAGTTGGAGACGGTTTTTCATATGATCCATTACCTAATCAGAGTTCTTGCTCCTATAAGGTGCGGCTAGAGGATATTGGTCATCATTTAAAATGTGAGTGTATCGTAACTGATGTGTTTGGAAGGTCAGGTGAGGCAGTATGCATTGAGACAACACCTGTATTGCCAGGTAATTTCTTTCATTGATAGTGCCTGTGTTGGTGATTTAAACTCCTTATTTGCACATACAGTTCCTGCAAAGATTCTATGAAGTACTTTATGGTCATTCATGTTACTTACGTCAAAGAGCTGTTTCTCCTCTTTCTCAAAGGAAATACACGCAAATGAAAATCTGAAATTGGACCACCTGCTGTCCAACCATTTTTTCATTATCTTATCTTTTCCCACTAAAATATTTGTATTTTGCGATGTTATGAAGAGTGGAGCATTTTAAGCATTATTGCCCTTTCTTTTCGTCATGCATTCTCCTTGTAATTATTATACGTGCATTCTCCTTGTTGTAATTATTCTGAGTGCATTCTTAGGAATTCCTAGAATACACAAGCTGGAGATTGAGGGAAGGGGATTTCACACCAATCTCTATGCTGTTCATGGCATTTACAGTGGTGGAAAGGAAGGCAAAAGTAGAGTTCAGTGGCTTAGATCAATGGTTGGAAGTCCTGACCTGATCTCCATTCCAGGTATGCAAAATTCCTAAAAGTGCTTAAACTAAAATGTTTCCAGTTAAAGATATTGAGAAGTATATGATTGAATTCCATTACAGCCACCACAATATTGCGTATTTTGACATTTTACCTTGTCCTCATTTTTTGAGTGCTAGCAACACACCTAACGCTTTCATGTTGGTGAAAGTTTATTGGAAACTACAAAATCATGAGTTGAATTCATTAAATACGGAGTGAGACTTGCAAAAATTTTCAAAACTTTTAATGAATTCAGCTGATATTGAAGAGTGTGTTAGCTTCTCTGCCATATTATATGTGTGTTAGTGGGTTTGGCCTAGTCTCCCCACTGGTTTGTATGACCCTATTAATTACTTTTATGGTACTTTTGGTGCTGCAAATGATTGTTGTTATTTGGGGTGTTAAGGTAGTTGGGATGTCAAATAACATAGTGATGCTTTAGCACTTTCAAAATTGAGATCACACCTAGTTTCAGGAATATTCTTGATTGACTCAAAACTGGTCTCTTTTTTCAAAAAAACTAATGCATATATGACTGAAAAGCTTGTCTGAGAAGGAGAAAAAGGAAGAGACATTACCCAGTCTGTTTGTCCATGTAAGCAACAATTTGCATTATTTATTAATGTGAGAAATAATTATATTAATCTTAGAATTGCGTAATTACCATAATTAAGGGTATAATAGGTTGCCTTCATTGTTGCACCTCTGATGAACAGAAACTATTAGAAGGTTCAAAGTTATTTTCCAATGAGAGCTTAGCCTATATTCGCGAAGGGTCTTTCCATATGGCACTTTTATGTTTTTACTTGCATGCCGGGAATGCTATATATCCATTACTACTATGTTTAGGGGATCTTGAAATATAATTAAGAAAATTTAATTTATTTCGTTAATTAGACTTATTTGCTTTTGGTAGAAGATTTGACATGATTTGTCTAGTTTTTATTTCTTTTTTATTTCTTTAATTGGCTGAGATGCTGTGAACAACATTACCATATGTAATCTATCTAAAACACACAAGTAAAAAAAAGTACATACAATTCAGATTTATCTCTTTCTTTCAAGTTTTTCTTTAAACGTATATTCTCATTGTCAAATGCACATGTTACATGTTTATCTTATATAACTAACATCTATAGAAAGGTAAATACTTTCAAATATATAAGTTATATTATAAAAATTTGTAATAAATAAATGATTTTGAACAAATCAATCAAAATTGGTTTCTATCAGTTTATGTTGAAATGCAAAGTTATTTTTCACTATGGAGCATTGGTTTTTGAAATGATTAATTTTAAAAATTTGTACACGTGTTTCTTAGAAGTTTAATTAGAACTGACATAGATTTTCAGCATAAATAAACTCCGGCTACCTATATATGTGTGTAATATATCAAGACAGAGATGGGCCTTGGCGCAAATATTACAATCTTGAAATAACTACATCTAACAGATTCTGTCACAACCATTAGGACATGACTATCGTCCAAAATATACTACATTGGGCACCTCATTTCGTGTTTAAGTTAGGTTAAAGATGTGCCTAAGCTCAAGTTTTTGTTAATTGTAACATGGTTGAGAGGTGTTTGACATGCATTGAAGACGTGTGTGAAATATTGAAATTCAATTTAGAAAAAAGATAAAAAATAAGTCATATGGTGTTAATAGAAATTCGTAAAAATGTTCTCATTGAAAAAAAAATTTTAAAAGCATTCTTGATAAACAATAAATCCTAAAATTACTCTCTTTCATGATAACTTTTCTAATTTATATAAAGGAGGATAATATTCTCTGCTTTGTCATACACAGTGATTCAGTTTTCTATCTTTCCATATCTTTTATTTCAAGTATTACTTGTTATGTATCTTCAATAATCCTACTAATTTTTCTTTCGAACGATTAAACTACAGGAGAAACTGGAAAAATGTATGAGGCGAATGTTGATGATGTTGGCTATAGGCTGGTGGCCATTTATACTCCTGTAAGAGAGGATGGAGTCGAGGGGCAATCAATTTCGGTATCCACAGAGCCAATTGCAGTTGGTAAGCTAAAATTGTGTTTAGTTAAATTGTCTTTGACATTATGTAGTAATCCAGGGTGAGTGTTGAAATTTTTGTTCATTTCTTGAGAACTCATCCATTGTATTGGCACCTGTAGAAGTGGTGACGAACAATTCCCATCTATTCCTATTTCTTGCAGATCCCACAACTACAACCTTTAAGTCCTGGTCCTTTTGCACTAACCAACCTTTTGTTGAATGTCATGTGTGATCCTTCAATGCTTCTTGTTGAAAAGATTGACTTTTATTGTCCTTAGGAAGTAGTGTGTTCATGTCTCTCACATTTCAATGTATATAGTGTTCATGACAAGTGTCTAGGAAGTTGCATCTCTTATTATTATCCTAGAGAATAGTGTCCACTAAAGTCTATCAAGTGATACATTAACTAATAAAAACCTAAGATGCTAGGGGAGAGAGAGAGAGAGAGAGAGAGAGAGAGAGAGAGAGAGAGAGAGAGAGATAAAACTAAACAAAACAGAAAAAAGAATTTAAAATGGCATAAATATATTAAAAACGGTCTAATCTTTAACTAAAATTCAAGTATATGACACAAATCTCAACGGAAGGGCATGTTCTGGAATTCTAAAACAGAGAACTAAAATTCTGAAGTTCTTAAAAACACATATAACTATAATTCTGAACAAAGCACCAAAATGTTGAATTTAAAAAGATTGACAAGCAAGATCAGCCACACACAGATACGGGAAAAGGTGATAAGAGAGAGCATCTGAAAAAATCAAGAACAGATGAAAACAAGCAAATAAAAAGAAGTAAAGGGAAGAAGGCTTGCTGGAGTGGCTGGCTGCAGCTTCAAGGGTTTGCAGAACTGCATATGATAAAAGACGAGAAATTATAGGTTTCTTGGTTTTGTGGTTTCACTAAAGAAAAATAAAAGAGGAAGTGTTAGAAAGGGTGTTTAAAAGTGGATCTTTTATAAATGGGTGAAGCTACAACCTAGTTTGTAAAAAATGATATTCCACTTAGGGTGCCATTAAAAGCCACGACCACGGTGGGTTCTTCAGTGGATATGACAATATCTTTCCTTCTCTATTTTTCTACTGTCTTTTGCAGTTTTGCTTCTTTGGTATGTGGATATGGATAGTTTGGAATTCTTCAACTAAAACATTTTTATTGTATATTGCAGAGCCCGATGTTCTTAAAGAAGTGAAGCACAATCTTGATCTTGGATCAGTGAAGTTTGAGGTGGGATATTTACTGTCTTTACCGTGTTGAAATTGTACTATTGATTGAGAAATGCTTGGCATACACTACACCCACCCTTTTTTCATTACTAGCTGAAAATTTTTGTGAGTCACAAGGTTGTGTGCGTCTGACTATCTCGTCCTTATTTAATTAGCCTCTATCCATGATAAGTTAATTATACAGTAAGTGAAACAATTTGATGGTGACTGAAGTGTCTACGTCTTTGTTTGAACTCTCCTAGTTGTAGCTCTACTGGTGTTCTGAAGTAAACCTTTAATAATTGTTTGGAGAACTAGCCTTGCTAACTAAACCATTTTGTCCAAGTAATTTTTTGAATAGATAGATTACTATGTCTTTCCTTTGGAGTCTTCCTGTATCTCATTTATTCATTCTGTTTGAGTTTTGATCTAAAATTTGATAGCTTTGCTCTCAATTTAGTCTTCCTTAAGAGCTGTTTTACCTTAGTTTTAATCCTTAATAAGCTCATTGTTTGTCTTCTGTAACAGGTATTATGTGACAAAGACCAAACCTCAAAAAAGGTACTCTATAGTCTTCTGATGTTTATGTATTAATTTTAAGTGGTGGAAAAGCCCAAAAGGGACTGTTGCCAATTTTGAAATAATTTTCCTTTCAGATTTCATCGGTGGGCACATATGAGAGACGTGTCCTTGAAATTAACAGGAAAAGGGTCAAGGTGGTAAAACCTGCCACGAAGACTTCTTTTCCAACAACAGAAATTCGTGGAAGTTATGCCCCTCCCTTTCATGTAAGTTTGGGTGACTTGGAAAACTCATTTTCCCTGATCCATTATATAATTTTAAATTCAGGTTATCATATCCTTGATTTTCTTGTATTTATGTTCAAATGTATCAGGTGGAGCTTTTCAGGAATGATCAACACCGTCTTAGGATTGTCGTTGACAGTGAGAATGAAGCAGACTTGATGGTACACTCCCGACACATTCGGGATGTTATTGTTCTTGTGATTCGAGGACTTGCTCAGAGATTCAATAGTACTTCGCTCAATTCCCTTCTCAAGATAGACACATAAACAAGGGTACATTGTATAGTCATATTTGTTTCAGGAAACTAGGTTGTTGAGGCCAGTTTTCTCATATTTTGCTTGTTCTGGGTGCAAGTGTTGTTCCTTTTAAGAGAACAGCTTCTAATGCCATAATTATTGTAGGCCATTGATTGCAAGATCTGTGTGCGTGTGGCTTACCGCAAGGTCATTTAAAGATTTTGCGTTATGAATTTGTTCAAATTTTAGATTAGGGATGATGATAACGGGGAGTGTGGGTGGGTAGGTATTATAGTATCTATAGTCTCCGTATCCGCTTTCAAAAAAATATCCACACATCCTTGTACAGGTAACAACTTTGATCCTTATTTATTACTTACTGCGTATCTATATATCCATGCTTCTATGCTTACTTGTATTTAAAATCAATAAAATATTTTAATTAAAAATTCACTACAAAATATTACACTGATTAGAATGAAAGAATGTAATTATTTTTTTCAATCCTTATTTTCGAATTTGTATCTATGTATACACACATGTATAATTGCATCTAGAATCAATAAAATATTAATTAAAATGTTACTCTTGAATTAGAAGGGAAGAAATTAATTGGTTTTTCATATTACATAATAAACCATTATTTCTTTTTTTTTATACTTATTTTTGGTGTTATCATTTATGAAACTATATTATTTTCTTATGATGATGAAGAGGATAAAGAGAATAAAGAAAAATAATTTTGATATTATAAATTTAAGAAAAAAAAAGCTTATTGTGAGTGAAGAGAAAATAGGCAAGTACAACATTGAAGAGAAAATGTTAACAGGAAAGAAAAATGGAAAGATAACATGTCATATTTATGAAAAGTTAAATTTTATTTATTTAGGAATTTAATATTATAGTTAAAAATGTAGATATACAAGTGATGTAACAACGTACTAGTGTATTAACGTTGATGACTGACAAAAAGTTTATTGGTAAAAGATGTATGTATTTAAGTGTGTCTAAAATTCTTATTGAAGTTGTGTGTAATATATTGTTTAATATATTCTATCTTTTATGTTGTAACATTTGTTTAACTATATTTAAGAGTCTATTCAATTGGTGAGGTGGTGGGTGAAGTTTAGTTTATTAGCAATGTATTTGATGAAATTTTACTAAATCTTGTATTTAAATATAATCTTACTTTAACAAAAAGAAATATTCGTCTTTGAAAGAAATTAACTTTTATTCTTAAATCATCCAAATGTAACATTAACAGAATTTATTTTATAGAATATTTATATCATCATATTTATCTTACTTTAAAATATATTTTTTTACTTTAGTACTTCTCATTAAACTAAATTAACAATCAAAACTAAAAAATAATAATGAAATTGTCAGAATTATAAAATTAAAATAAATCAAAGAATATAATATTTACATGAACTTAAAATATATTTAATTTTTTTTTCAAAAATTCGTACACTCTAATGTTTCATTTATCAATCGAATGACCACCATTTTACCAACCTATATATCACTGTCATACAAAAGCTTTTTTCTTTTCTTGTTAGTAGTGTCCTTTCGTCTTTTTTTTTTCTTCCAATTCATATCATAAATTTTAATCTCTTGTATAAATGATGGGTTTTGATGACTTTTGTTAAGGATACACTCGTTGATATCATCATTTGTCAATTTTTGGTGAGTCAAATCCTTAATCTAAGTAGTATGTGTTGGTTACTAAATAATTATTTTTTTTAATAAAAGATAAAACATTATTTTCATTTCAAACCTATGTGATATTTAAATATATGTGGTATTCTAACTCAAAATAATTAGTTTTTTTAAATAAAAGATAAATATTTTATTTTCATTTTAAACATAATGGTATTTTAATATATTTGAAAGTTAATTTTTAGATCTTTCCGAATTCATCAATTCTCACTAATTTTTTTTAGATGTGATTTTTTTTACATTGTTATATCTTCCCCTTAAACGAATATGATTTCTTCTTCGATCTAAAATATTAAGACATTAGATTATAGATTTTTTTTCACTTATACATTATTTAATTTTTTTATTTTTATTTAAAATGAGACTTTAAACTCAATACTAATTATTTTTTATTGGTGTATTTACTATGTAATTTATTTTATTTTTAACTCATTTTATTTTGTCTAGTAATAGTTGTTTAAAATGATTTTTTCACTAAAAAAAATATAGTATGAGCTAGTTCAGTTCATTCTTTTATACACCATTGAATTTTTCATTTGTAATTATTCATATAGTCATATAATTTTCCGATGTTTGTACAATGAGAGAAAATAAAGCTAGAAATGTTTGTTTCACTTGAAATATGAAAGCTATAAATTGGAGTAGTATTTACTAACAAATATGGTTGAGATTTCTCTTTCCTTAACCTATGTCTTCCCATGATGGTGGTACCCTAGACCAAAATATTCAAACTTATTAATTTTAAAAACTTAGATTTTCTTTTTTTCTTTTTTTCCATTATTTACTTACCCAAGAATCTACATGTACACGGAACAATTTCTACACCAACTTACTGGACATCGGGAATCAATGTTATGTATTAAAAACATTTTAACCGTATATAACACATTGTTTTACGTATTTGTTTGAGTTATTAATAAAATAAAATTTCTAATTTTATATAGATAATAACAAATATGAAAATAATAATCATATATGCGTATAACACTCTCACATTTAATTCAATAAGAAAATAAGAGAACAAAAAAGTAAGAGAACATTAAATGAAAAAATAATTATAAAATATTTAAATAAGTCCAAGTGAATGTTTATAATCGGAAATGTTTAGACTTTTTATAAAGTTATCTTTTCATTAATAAGACGTTATAATGTTATTATAACTTAATAATATATTGAAAATATACTAAATTTGTTTGATTTTAGATCTTATTTATTTTTAAGTAGTTATTAATTAATTGGTTAGTACTAATTGATTGATTAGATATTTATATTTTGATTATAATATATATATATATATATATAATACTTTTTAGTTTTTTATTTATTATTATGTAAAATTTATACTAATTTAATTGATTTAATATATTAAATTATATTCATTTTATTTTTTAAATTCATAATAATAAATAAAATATTAAAAGATTATATAAAGAGAGAAGAATAAAAAAATGGATAAATTTATTTTAAGAATATAACTCATATCATAGATAATATATATTTTTTTAGTTCAAGCTTTCTTATATGATAAATATGTGAACAATATCATTGAAGACACCTCAAATTTCTTATTCATTATATTGTTGAGTCATGGATTCATTTTTTTTTAGTCTCATGTCATCGATTTTGTCATTCTCTATTTCTTCAATATCCTTGATATCTACCACAACAACTAATTCTTCCTTGACCTATAATAATGTTTTTCTTAAAATGATCTAAGAATTCTAATTTGACCAACTTCTTTAATATATCTCAAACATTTGTCCACCTTGATAGTATGTCTATAATTTTGATGTCAAATACATCAAAGTAATTTGTTTGATCTCTTGAGGGGAATTAAATATAGAGAGATAACATTAATGAGATATGAGTTCAATCTACATAAGAGATATTTGAGTTATAGGTCTTTATTTTTATATATTGTTTATCTTACTTATTATTACTTAATGTGGGACTTAGACTCACACTTGGATTTTTCAACAATCTCCTCCTCAAATGTGAGTCCCTCCACGTTGGTACATCCTCTTTAAGCTCTTTAGTGACCCTTTCTTGTACCGTCATATGTTGTTCAACTTACCTATTATTACTCAATGTGGGACTTAAACTCATACTTAGACTTTCCAACAATCTCCTCCTCAAATATGAATCCTTCCACATTGGTACATTCCCCTTAAGCTCACTAATGACTCCTCCTTGTATCGTCATTCATTATAACGGGATACGTTTCTGGTCACCATATAAGTTATTTGATACCATTGTTGGATCTTTTGAGGGGGATTCACTGAGGAGAGATAATATCAATGAGATATAAGTCTAACCCAGATAAGAGATTGATACCACATTCGATCCAAAATCTTAAGACATTGAGTTACGAATCTTTCTTTCTTATATGTTACTCAACTTCCTCATTATTACTTAATGTGATGCTTAGACTCACACTTGGATTTTCAAACACTTTCTTCATCGAGTAGGAAGGCAATGAGAAACTAGCCACCTCTAGATTACATGATTCCTTAAATGTCATTTGAACCTTGACATTAAGGAGACTATGACTATTATAACTTATTCTATTTAGTCATTTTTCTAGACTTTGTTTGTTTGTTGGCGAGAATGTCAATTCCCTTTTTTTTTCTTACCTTTTTGTAGTTTGGTATTCTTTTTCAACTAGACACGCTAGGATTCAAATTTTATTCTATATCCCAGGATTTATGCAGAAATAAGCTATCTAGGAAAGATCTTATCCTTAACCCTACCAATATTGTGTGGATTGCCATATCAAGTGAAAGATTTCTTATAATAAGACTTACCTAGACAAATTGTTTTGTGAATTTGTGTAAGGACTCATTTTTTTCATGTTTGAGACTTTTGAGGACAATTGAGGTTGACTAGTAGAAAACCAAGTCTTGGACTTTTGTGCATCACCTCCTCGAGCGGAAGCTTTAGCAATGACCTAAACAATATCATTGAGATATGAGTCTAACTCACATAAGGGATTAACACTACTCATAACCCAAAACCTTAAGATATTGGTTTATGTGTCATACTTTCTTATATGTTGCTCAACTTTCTTATTCTTATTTAATGTGAGACTGAATTCTTGGATTACCAAACATTTAGGTAGGTATAATTCCATTGCAAAAGTGTTTATTTTAAAGCTATAGGAAAAATTATGCAAAAGAATGTCTCATTGCTTTAAAAAGTGTCAACTTGAGTCACACATGCATAAATATGCTCGTCAAAATTTGTTTCTCCATAATTAGTAGCTTCCAATGTGTCAAAATGAGATCGAGGATAAAAGGGTTACCATGGTCATTACATACATGGAGGTAGGGGGTAGTTTGATGGAATGGTTGTCCACCTATTCAAAAATGTGCTTGAGATTCTTCATTTTAGGTTATGAGTTAAAGATTGTCATAATGTTGTACATGAGACTCACCAGTCATCTCTTGATAGTGATTACATTAACCTTTGACTAACATTCTAGTTGACAATATAGTATGATGTCCCATGATTTATTCATGAAACATGTTTTCATGGGAGTCCTTTATATTTTATCTTATTGTTACAATGATGTCGGCCTTTTATAGCCAAAATTTCAACTCCTCCCTCAAGGTTTTAAGTTGGTGCTACTTTCGGACTCAATATAAGGTATTTTGTAGCCTTTTTTCTACAAATCTAGAATGCTAAATCATATATTTTCATCATTTTATGCAAGACATCAATTGTGGTTTCTTTGGTGTTGTACCTCGTCCATATAAACTTTTAGGTTATTTATAATAACATTTGTGTCCATTTTAGTGGTTGATTAACTCACTTGGTTTCTTGTTTGAAAATGATGCACTTTTGAAAATTTGACTTGAGCTTCGTGACGGATACCATGTGTGCTTATTTTTATTTATGTACCATATATGTAACACATATTTAAATAAAATATTTAAAATCAATATTAGTAAAGCACAAATAATATCAATATCAATAATAATCAAAATGTCTTAATAAACCTAATTACTTAATACACTTAAGAATTATAAAAAATATCATAATATATATTCGTACACATAATCCCACAAATAATCATTTGAACAAATTATTTGTTAATTAACACAATCACGAATAAGAATTTTGTAAATAAGAGGTTATATTAGAATATGAGACACTCATATTTTCTTCTTTCAATACTATCTTATATTGTTATGTTATCTAGTTATTATCTTAATAATTGAAGAGTCATGTCATATAGACTTCTTCCTTATGCAAGCATCATCTAGCGTGAAGGCTATTGATAACCAATTTTTTCAATTTGAGGCTTATTTGACACTCCTTATTTTTCAACAAGATATTTTGCGACTAAGGATTATAAGTGTCTTCTTTCCTTAACTCACTAACATATATTTTAGGACAAAATTATGAGGGAGTCATCTTAAACTCTAAAGTGGACCATATATCATATGTGTTTACTAGTCATACTCATGCTATCTTAAATAAATTTGATGATTAGAATATTAATATCTTTTATTATAGGATGAAAAGAAATGATTTTTTATTATTTATTCCCTTACTTAACCTTTAACTTATATTTAAAAATTTCACATTATTTAAAAGTCAAAATTAAGAATAATTTATAAATAACATTTTTTTCTTAACAGATCAATATACATTTCAAGCATAAAATTGAATCAAAGTTGAATAAAAAATTTAAAATAAACAATATATTAAATATAATGTGATTTACACATGAGATTGGTATCATAACAACAGAAATAAACTTGAAATAATAACTATTTAAAAACCTTAAAATATTTAATTTAAATAATAATAATAATAATAATAATAAATTAATTTTAATTTATATAAAAAATAATTTAATTTTTTATATTTTTATTTTATAAATATAGAAATTTTTTGTCCCACTTTAATAATAAAAATCCAGCTAACTTTTTATAACACTTTTCATATATTTGTCATACAACTCTCTAATGATACATTGTAAAACAATAAAATGTTATCTTTTTCACAATCAAATTCCAAATTAATTGAATAATATCTCATATACTAGTAATACTACTTGTGGTGAGAACATAATGATTTGAAAATTGTAAATACCTAGAAAAAGGCAACTCCTTCCAAAAGAGATAGGGAAGTGAGTGGTTTGAAAAATATTCACACTGGTATGGACTTGTACGTCCATGTTCCCTTCTATTTTTCAACTTTGCAACCATTAGCAGAAGATTCATCTACTGAAACTGCACCTACTAAGCCCCCCCAAATAATATAAAAAGGGATCATTGTTGTGTGTTATATTCACCAACTAAAGAAATGAATAACATGGTGATTGCTTCCTTAAGCTCCCTGGTGCTCCTCTTTGCAGCTCTCATTCAGTCCCCTCAAGCACTTGCTCACTATGCCAACCCACCTCTCTACAACCCTCCTGTTGAGCCACCATCTCCCATTTCTCAACCCCCCATTCAAACCCCACCACTCTACAAGTCTCCATTACAGAAAACACCCTCCTTTCACACTCCACCATTTGAGAAACCCCCATTTTATTATTCACCATTTGAGAAACACCCACTTTATTATAAGCCACCATTTTACCAGCCTCCACTTCATAATCCACCATTTGAGAAACCCCCACTTTTTGTGCCCCCACTTTACTTGCCACCGTTTAAGACACCACCATTTTACATGCCACCATTCGGGAAGCCACTTTATTGCACCTGCTTCTGAAGTCCTGTATGTGTAGAGGTGTTGAGTATGTTCTAAATAAGAGGTAGCTGCTGCATGCTACCATTCTCATCCTCTCACTATGTATTGTGTGTTGCTTTATTTGAATATGAAGGGATATAAATAAGACATCATTTTCATGAAAATTAAGATTTTGATAATATTTATAAGTTTATCATAAATTATTTCTTAAAAATCACATTTTTTATTAATATTATATTAAAAATATTAAATTGATTCAGTAAAATAAAATTTATATTTATTTTAATTATATATTATAATGTTATTATATTTTTAATATGGGTGAGATTTGTCATCATATTTTTCATATAGACTTTTTTTCATTACATTAATTAAAACATAATTTATAATAAATTAAATAATATGAATATTATCTCATGATTAATAATATTTAGATGAAATGAGATGTTTAATAAGTTTGTTAACCATATATATATATATATATATATATATATATATATTAATATATTAATAATGAGAATAATATTAACTAAATATTAATAATCATATAACTATATTTATTTAATTTTAATTACTATTTCGTGTGCGGTGCAATGTACAGGAAATTTTTTAATTTAGTACATTTTTTATAAATATATTGAATTAGTTTTTATTAACAAATTTAAAACAAGCTAAAATATGTAAAATAGTAAAAAGTATCTTAAACATACGTGGTTGGTGAAAATACAAACTTTAATTTTATATTATTATCTAATTGATTTAATATAATTTGATTATGAGATAATCTAAGTAAATATCTTTAATTCTAAATGCAAAACATAATTTAATTGTTAATGGTAAGTACAATTATTATAATAATGTAAAAATAATAACGTAAAAACTCGTTAAATTAGTAACCGAGATTAATTTCAATGTAATAGATTAGGAGAAATTCATGCCAAATAAATAGGTCACCTTATTGCAATACATTCCTTCAACTTTCAAATGAGCTTTGCCAATAAAAAAATAATAATTTGATTATCATATCATATTGGTAAAATCTTGTTTAGACTCTAACCATTGTGAAGTATCTATATTTTGGATCTACCTTTAATTATATATATATATATATATATATATATATATATATATATATATATATAAAAAATGAATATTAAGTATCTATGTTAAAGATTCACTTTTTAAAAATTTATAAAAAAAATTATTATGCAAAATTTGTTGAAGATTATAATTTTTTTTTCAAATAAATTTTCATATTTAAAACATTCAATAATGTTACAAATTGTCATGTGGAAAGATCAAGAAAATTATAAGTCATGTAAACAACAAAAGTATATGTTAACATCTTTTTGTATCATTGTATACATTAATTTAAACAAATAATATGTTATAAAAAGAAATAAATAATAAACAACATAATTGTGTTTTAATTAATATTTTAAATTTAGTATCTTTGTACCATTAAATCCATCTAAAATTTCAGCTTGTCAACAATTTACTTGAAAAATAAGATATATAAATTTGGAAATAATTAAAACATATCATGATTCTATCTTAGACCATTGCAAGATCAAGATAATTAAAGGATTGATATAATTTACATTAAGTTATTCATTCATTTCTTCATAAAAACCCATTAATTATAGAATTAATATTCTATATTAATTATTCATCCAAGACAATGTAGAACAAAAAATTATTTTTTATTAACATAATATAATTTTCAGGAAAGCCATACTAACCTGTTTTCCATATCATTTCCCAGTTCAATACTTGCAAATTTATATTCTAGTTAAAATATTTTTTTAATCCTTAAATTTGAGCTAACTTTAATTTTAGTTTCTTAAATTTTAAAATAATATTTTAAACATATTTTTAGTTCCTTAAATTTAAAATAATTTTAAATTTTCAATAATGTAAAGATTTTTTTAGTCCTAAATTTGAAACTGACTTTTTTTTTACTCTAATTTAAAAATAATTCCTTTTGAATTTTAAAATTAATATATATAGTTGACACATTTGTTGATGTAATAATTTAGTTGTTTTTTTTAATATTTAAGAATATAATTTTTAGTAGTTTTCTTTTTTATATGAAACAAATAGGCTAAAAATGTGTAAGAAATATTAAACTAGAAAACAATATGAAATTAATATACGAAATTGATATTTTTGAACATTCAATTTTCATTTTAATAGAACCATTTTGAAAACAACAATCTAGAATGCATTATAAACTTTTCTAAAGAGACCCATTCAGAATAAATTCTAAACTTTTTCAAGAAGCTTATTTTGTAATGATAAATTCTACGGCGATGTTTTAGAATTATCTTTAAGAAAATTTAACTGGACAATTATATTATTTCACATTTTTTGTGGTGCAAGACCAAATATTCATGGTATAGGAAGAAAAAGGCATTGCTATATTATCTGACCATAAAGTTTCACAAACATTTTTTTTATTTTCTATTTATTGATCTAAATTTTGGACGTTTGACTTTATCATATATTGTATTTTTAAACTCTTAAAAGCATTGATTTTTTTATTTTTTTCTACCAAATTTGACTTCTAAAATAAGTCATTTTCATATTAAAGAATTTAAAAACCATGATTGAATTTAAGGCGAGCAAAAAGTCACGCTTAGATGAGAAAAAAATCACTTTTAAATTTTGAGAAATTAAAAAAAATACTTTAGATAAAAACAATCACTTTTTAATTCAAAGAAAATAAAAAAGTATTTTGAAATTGAAGAGATTTAAAGAGTTAATTTTAAATTTGAAGACTAAAAATATCAATTTTATTAAAACTAAAATAAATTTATCTAAATTATAAGTGACTACAGAAATATTTTAATAACAAATTTTCAAAAATTTAGTTTCGGACATTATTAGTTTAATATCATATAAATTCACCTCACTGTGCTAACAACACATATAACACTAGCAAGGAACTAAAAATAGTTTTTTATTTTATTTTTTTGAAAATTGGGATTGAAAAAAGTTAATTTGAAAATTAAAAAAATCTAATTTTCAGAAATTATATATATATATATCATTGAATTGAAATATATTTAACTCAAAAAATAAAATAAAAGATTATTGTGGAATTTGATTCAACAAATTGAAATTAAGTCTTACTATTTAAATTCTTGATGGAAAATACTAAATTCAAATTTAACTAGATAAGTTAAAAGCATAGTGCCTTAGTTTTTTTTTTTTTTTTTTCTTTAAAGAGCTTGTACTTAACTTGAAAGAATTTTCTATCATCAATAACAAATTGTAATACAATAAATAAGGAATTTAAAACAAAACAAGTTAATTAAAATGTAAACATTTAATATTTCTTATTTTAACTTTTAAAATTGTAATCTGAAATGAGCTATTCTACATATCAAATTAATAAATAACACTTTTTTAGTAAGAGTATAACATTTAATATTTCTTATTCATATTACTCTTGCTACAGATACCAAATTAGTTATAATATAATTTCGAGATAATAAATGTTCCTATCTACGTTTTCCTATATGGTTTACTTAGAAAATGTTAAATATAAAATAAATGTATCTATATTTAATATTATGTTAATTTGAGATAAAGTAAACTCAATTTTCATAAAGTTAACATAATACATAATTTTAGTTTTTCTGGTGATAACACTTTATACATGAAAAAAAAAACTATTTTGAATAGAAAATACTCATATATAATGAAAGTTTCAAAAAATGTTATCTCAACCTATGAATAATCCGAATTTCACAAACATATTATAAATACTGTTCAGTTACGAGAATTAGTTATTGATAATTTTTTTTTTAAATTATCTATAATGTTAAGAATTAAGATTAGATTCGGAAGGAGGGTATATGTGTTAGTTTACTCGTGCAATGGTGGTGCGATTATATTTTTGAAGCCCCACCCACTTGTCTCCGGTGTTTGATGGTTCCGGGTTGAAGATCCCGATCCCGATCCCGATCCGAACCCGGGTTTCCCGTATGTCCTCCATTTCGAAGCAACACAAAACTAAACTTCCCTCTATCTCTCTCTCAGATCCCAACGAACCCCAAAAACTTGACACTCACCAATCCGTAACATCAACACGAGCAAATCATCACCGTTCTCCAATTGAAAGCACAATCGTAATGTGATGGATTCCCCACCTTCCCAGCAATCGTGGGGAAGGTCACCCACCTCCCTCACATCTTCTTCATCTCTTTCCAAATCCAATTCCGATTCCATCCAAAGCCTCTCATCGATCCTCAATAACCCTCACGCCTCTGACGCCGCCTCCTGGGGCGCATGGTGGTCCTCCGCCACCGCCGTCGCCCCGCCCGAATTCGCTCCAATCGCCGCCGCCAAGGCAGCCTCCGAGGTCTCCCGATCCGACTTCCAGCCCTACCTCGCTCCCATCGCCGACGCCTACCATCGCTTCGAGGACATCCGCAACCACGCCTCCAAGGAACAGATCAATGACCGCGCCAATGCCGCGGCTGGCGCCTCCGGCCTGGGCGAGGCGCTCGTCGCTTGCCTGCGCGAGGTCCCCTCGCTCTACTTCAAGGAAGACTTCCGCCTCGAGGACGGCGCCACGTTCCGCGCTGCTTGCCCCTTCGCCAACGTCTCCGAGAACCTCGTGCTGCAGGAGAAGCTCTCGCACTACCTCGATGTCGTGGAGCTCCACCTCGTGAAGGAGATCTCGCTCCGCTCGTCTTCGTTCTTCGAGGCGCAGGGGCAGCTGCAGGACCTAGACGCTAAGATCGTCCACGGTTGCACGCAAATTCGTCACCTCAAGGACACCATTCGCCTCCTCGACGCCGATTTGGTCCACGACGCGCGCCAGATTCAGGAGCTCAATGGCACCCGGACCAATCTCTTGGCGCTCCAGCAAAAACTGCGGCTTATATTCTACGTCAACCAGGCCCTCTCCGCTCTCAAATTGGTACTTTCGCTTTTGCATTTTTTTATTGTGATGTTTCTGTTTTTCGCCGTGGTTGATGTTTTTTGTGAAGAGTGTAACGATGTGATGTGAGTGTCTAAACTTTGATGAGTAGAAGATTTGTATGACAGGAGAAACTTAGATGTAATCCTTATACTTTTGGAGCTGTTATCCAATCAGAATTGAATATTTAATTGGCGAAATAAAAGTTTGTGGTAAAGATCAACATAAACAACACCACAAATACCTATGAAATTGTAGCTAAGTTTGTCCCATGCGAAACCGTTCTTGTGTTTTAGAGTTATTGTAGTCTGGTTGGGTTGTAGATTAATTTGGAGAATTTTACTAGTTGTTATGTCATGCTGATGGGGGAAAGGATTCTGTATTTGTGGTGGAGATACCTCCACAAGAAAGGATGAAGGAAGAGGATCGGTATTCTATTGAGCATCATAAAGGAAAATACAATGTATATAGCCAATCTAGGCCATGTGCTCATTCTAACAAAATTCCTCCTTGTTGAAGTATTTATTAGATTAAATGTATCTTGTTGGACATTTATGAGATTAGTTGTAGATCTAGTTCCTAGAATGCATCTGATTACCTTCTCTAGGATTAATCATGTCTCTCTATTAATTGTATCTCTGAATCTGTATTTTTATCTCCTATAAATAAGTGAACACAAGAAGATGATTTCAGGCTCTCAAAATCAGTTCTTTATTTTCTTTTTTCTATTTCAAGTTGGTATCAGAGCGGGTTCATCTCGCTCTGCCTGTCTCTGTTTCTTTTTTCTGGCATTAATCGCCGTCTGCCGCCGTCCGCCGCCGTCCACCCCCGGTGTTGTCCTCTCCGGCGCCGTTTTCCTCTCTGATACTTGGGTTTGGCTCGCCTCGAGGAGCGCGACCCAACCCCAGTGTTCGCTTCCTCTATCTCTGCCTCACGCGCCGCCACGCGCCACCCTCGTCCGCGGCTTCCTCCGCGCGTGGGCCTCACGCGCCGCCCTCTCGGTGGCTGTTTTGCTCCAGACCACCTCTATCCGGCTCGCCTCGTCGCCCTGGTGCTAGATCTGCACTTTGTTTTGTGTTCTCGGTCACAAAACGTGGTGGGTCTGCGTTTTTTCTCTCTGCCTCTCTCGGTCCTCTCTCTGACAGCACGCTGGTCCCTTCTCGTTTCCTGGAAAATGTCAGGATCTGTGTCTGTATCTTTTTCTGGGACTCCGACTATAACCACAGAAAAATTAAATGGGAAAAATTATTTGTCTTGGGCTTCCTCTGTTGAACTCTGGTTTCTAGGTCAAGGAGTTCATGATCATCTAGAAGAAGATGGAAGTACTATACCAGCAGACCAGGCTCCTCAATGGAAAAAACTGGATTATCAACTTTGTGCATTATTATGGCAATCTGTTGAACCACATATTTTGAGCACTCTTCGAGCCTTCAAGACATGTAATTCTTTTTGGAAAAAGGCTCAAAATATCTTTGCTAACGATATTCAACGACTTTATGATTCTGCTAATAGACTAGCCTCCCTTAAGCAAGAGGATAATTCCATGATGTCCTTTGTTGCTGAAGCTCAGTCAGCTGTTGAAGAATTAAAAATGTTCTTGGAAGCAGAATCATTAGAAGAAAGGAAGACAAAGCTGGATAAATTCTATATGGTAATGATTCTTAGGGCTATGAATCCAGAGTTTAATCATGTTAGAGACCAGATTCTAACTGGAGAAGAAGTTCCTTCTACGGAGAGTTTAATCACAAGGCTACTTCGTGTTCCTTCTATCAAAAGCAAAAACAGTCAGGAACTTGCTGATTCTTCCGCCATGATTTCTGCTCGTGGAAGAGGTAATCACAGCTCTAGAGGACGTGGTGGGAAAGGACGTCCTCAGTGCTCTCATTGCAAAAGAATGGGACATACTAAAGAAAATTGCTTTGCTCTTCACGGCTTTCCTGATAAGGTAGCTAATACCTCAAAATCTGAAGTTGATGAGCCCAAGTTCTCTCATGAAGAGTATCAAGAATATTTAAGGATGAAATCAACTAATTTGGCTCAAGCATCTACAACACCAAATTCGTCAACCGCTTGCATTTCGCAATCTGTGGAAAGTCAAAATCCATGGATTATTGACTCAGGTGCTTCTGACCACATGTCTGGTAATACCTCTTTATTTTTCTCTCTTTCATTTCCTAAAACATCCCATCTCATATCTTTAGCTAATGGATCTAAAGTAGCCTCTAAAGGAATTGGTCAAGTATCCATCTCTTCTTCTTTAAACCTTCAAAATGTTCTTTGTGTTCCTTCTTTTCCATTCAGTCTTGTTTCTGTAAGCCAATTAACCAAATCATTGAATTGCTCAGTAACCTTTAATGCCAATTGTTTTGTTATCCAGGAACGTGGTACGGGTCGACTGATTGGAGAAGGACATGAATCTGGAGGCTTATACTACCTTAGGACTAAGTCATCTGTATCTTGTGTTGCGTCTTTATCCCCAAAACTGTTACATGAGCGATTAGGGCATCCTCATTTAGCAAAATTGAAAAAAATGGTTCCTGAACTTCAGAACCTTCAAACTCTTGAATGTGAATCCTGTCAACTAGGGAAACATACCAGGTCATCCTTTCCAAATCATTCTGAATCTAGATGTGATTTTGCTTTTAGTATTGTTCATTCAGATATATGGGGACCTAGTCGTGTTTCATCTTTTGGTTTTAGATATTTTGTTACTTTTATTGATGGGTTTTCTAGATGTACTTGGGTTTATCTTATGAAAGATTGTTCTGAACTATTGCCTATCTTTAAGTCTTTCCTTAATGAAATCAAAACTCAATTTGGAAAAGTAATCAAAGTTTTACGAAGTGATAATGCCAAAGAGTACTTTTCTAATGATTTTTCTAATGTCCTAAATTCTCAAGGCATTTTACACCAGTCCACGTGTCCTCACACACCACAGCAAAATGGTATAGCAGAACGAAAAAATAGACATTTGGTTGAAACTGCTCGTACCTTATTGCTGGGTGCCAATATGCCTATTCATCATTGGGGAGATGCTATTTTAACTGCATGCTTTCTCATTAATAGAATGCCATCTTCTTCTCTTGATAATAAAGTTCCACACTCTATTCTATTTCCAAAGGAACCAATTTTTCATGTTTCTCCTTGGGTATTTGGATGTATATGTTTTGTTCATGACATGTCTCTTGGCTTAGATAAACTCTTACCTAGAGCTATCAAATGTGTCTTCTTGGGATATTCTCGTCTTCAAAAAGGATATCGGTGTTATTCTCCTGAAACCAAGAAGTACTACATGTCTGCTAATGTCACCTTTTTTGAATCATCATCCTTCTTCCCTTATTCTATGCAGGATATTGATTCTGTCCAAAATGTGCTTCTTGTTCCCTTAGTTGAATCAGTTGTACCTCCTATTTCTGACCAAAATACTCTAGAATCAGCATCACAGCCTATCATCACCTATCAATGCAGGAACCAGGTGAACAATCCCATCCCCCAAGATGAGCCATCCATAACAGGTCCTTCACCATCATCCTCTAATACCACGGCTCCTGATAACGATGATTCCAGTTGGCCCATTGCCATTCGCAAAGGTACTCGTTCTACTCGTAATCCTCATCCCATTTACAATTTTCTTAGTTATCATAGATTGTCTCCTTCCTATTGTTCTTTTATTTCCTCTGTCTCCTCTATTACAATTCCCAAAAATGTGGTCGAAGCGCTTGATCATCCTGGATGGCGACAAGCCATGATTTCCTGAAATGCAGGCTCTTGAACACAGCAAAACTTGGGAGCTTGTTCCTCTCCCTTCGGAAAGAAAACAGGTTGGTTGTCGTTGGATCTATGCTATTAAAGTTGGGCCCAATGGTCAGGTTGATCGTCTTAAAGCAAGGTTAGTGGCTAAAGGGTATTCTCAAATATATGGACTTGATTATTGTGATACTTTTTCTCCAAGTAGCCAAAATGACCACTCGTCCACTGTTCCTTGCCATGGCCGCCATTCGTCATTGGCCTCTTCATCAATTGGATATTAAAAATGCTTTTTTGCACGGTGACTTAGAAGAAGAAGTTTACATGGAGCAACCTCCTGGATTTGTTGCTCAGGGGGAGTCTGGTTTGGTTTGTAAATTACGTCGATCCCTCTATGGCCTAAAACAATCTCCACGGGCTTGGTTTGGAAAATTTAGCTCTATTGTTCAAGCTTTTGGATTAAAACGCAGTGAAACAGATCATTCAGTGTTTTATTGTCACACTTCCCCTGGCAAACATGTTTATTTAATTGTGTACGTTGATGATATTGTCATCACAGGGAATGATGCTGCTAAAATATCTCAGTTAAAAGAGCACTTGAGTAGTCATTTTCAGACCAAGGATCTTGGAAATTTAAAATATTTCTTGGGTATTGAAGTAGCTCAAGAAAAGGTATTGTCATCTCTCAAAGGAAGTATGCTCTAGATATTCTAAAAGAGACAGGTATGATTGATTGCAAACCTGTGGACAGTCCTATGGATCCAAATTTGAAGTTAATGGCAGGACAGGGTGAAGTTTTCTCTGACCCAGAAAGATATAGACGACTGGTTGGGAAACTTATTTATTTGACGATTACTAGACCTGATTTGTCTTTTGCAGTTGGTGTTGTCAGCCAATTTATGCAAGCTCCTTGTATGGATCATTGGAATGCTATCATTCGAATCTTAAGATACATTAAAAAAGCTCCAGGACAAGGATTATTATATGAAGACAAGGGAAATACCCAAATTTTTGGATACCTGTGATGCTGATCGGGCTGGATCTCCTATGGATAGGCGTTCCACTACAGGCTATTGTGTTTTCATTGGAGGAAATATCATTTCATGGAAAAGTAAAAAGCAAAACGTTGTTGCCCGGTCCTCTGCTGAAGTTGAATATAGGGCAATGGCGTCTCTTACTTGTGAACTTGTTTGGGTAAAACAATTCTTGCAAGAATTGAACTTCTGTGAGATTCAATCTATGAAGATGTATTGTGATAATCAAGTCGCTCTTCACATTGCTTCCAACCCAAGTATTTCATGAGAGGACCAAGCATATTGAGATTGACTGTCATTTTATTCGGGAGAAATTGTTGACTAAAGAAATTTGTACTCGAGTTTGTTGGTTCCAATGAGCAGCTTGCAGATGCATTAACAAAATCTTTGAGAGGACCTCGAATGGAATTCATTTGTTCCAAGCTTGGTACATTCAATTTGTATGCTCCAGCTTGAGGGGGAGTGTTGAAGTATTTATTAGATTAAATGTATCTTGTTGGACATTTATGAGATTAGTTGTAGATCTAGTTCCTAGAATACATCTGTTTACCTTCTCTAGGATTAATCATGTCTCTCTATTAATTGTATCTCTGAATCTGTATTTTTATCTCCTATAAATAAGTGAACACAAGAAGATGATTTCATGCTCTCAAAATCAGTTCTTTATTTTCTTT